CTTCCTCCACTTGTGCTGCCTGTACCCAAAGTCCAAATGTGCCTCCTTTGGGTTAGCAGCTGTCTGGCATTTCCTCCTTGGTCTGTGTCTGTCCACAAATTGTCAGTCCTTTGCCTCTGTGTTGGTCAGTGAATACTTTGTCAGGCTTACTCATTGTAAATGTTCTTGCCCAGTGGTCCTCTTTGTCTTCTGACCTTGTAGGTTTTGTTTTCTTTTTATGATGCAGATATTTAGAAACTAAGTGCAATTGGATGTATCAGCTTTTTCTTTTAGTTTTTGGGTTTCATGGCAGGTTTAGAAAGGCTCCCTCTTAGTTAGGATTACAAAACATTTTCTTCCTTTGTCCTTATCCTCTATGGTTTTCTTTTTCTTAGGTCATATGTGTGCTGTCTAGAGTTCATTTGGGTGAGAAGAGAGTCTTACCCTGTTTCCTAGGCAGCTTTCCATGGCCACACTCCATCCTTAGTATCCCTCTCCACTAGACCTACGTGAAATTTCCTGTGGCTGCATGGGCTCTGAGGGATCCTCCCTATCTCCCCAGATTCCTGCAGGGCCACTCTAGGTTCTGTCTACACTCCTCCTGACTACTTACACCTGGATACTCTTCTCTGACCCTCCCTGTACTCTGCCAGTCCTGCTCTTCAGGGCTGCTCCATCTGCCTTTCTTGGCCCTTTCCTTGCATGAAGCTGTCTGTTGCTCCCTTGTCCTGTTACTCTTGATTTCCACCATTTCCCTGGACTGTCTTCCCTTCCACTCTTGCATTTCACCCTTGCCTCACTTGGTCTCTGGGACAATCCGATCATATCATTCATTGGTCTGAGAGCCTTCTCAGTTCCCACGACCTGAAGAGAGGAATGCTGCACAACTGCCTGGTTGTTCATGTGGCTTTGGTTGTCCTGTATCCCCACCCCTTGTCCTTCCCAGTACCTGGAACCTAGCATGTGCTTTTCTTTCTCCTGGTACCAACCTCATTCCTGTTCAGTGGTATCAGCTCTAAGAGCTTTTTTTTTTTGTGGGAGGTGGATCTAGATTTGATTTGAACTCAGGGCTTTAGACTTGCAAAGCAGGTACTCTGCTGCTAGAGCCACACCTCTAGCCCATTTTGCTGTAGTTATTTTTGAGATGGGGTCTCCTGAGCTGTTTGCCCAGGCTGGCCTTGAACTTCAGTCCTCCCAATCTCCTTCTCCCAAGTAGCTAGGATTACATGTGTGAGCTGCTGGTCCCTGACAAGATGGAGCTTTTTAATTTTTTTCTTTTGCAGTACTGGGGTTTGAACTCAGGGCCTCATGCTTAGCTATGCAGGCGCTCTACCATCTGAGTCACTCTGCCAGCCCTTTTTAGTGTTGGGTATTTTCAAGATAAGGTCTCACAAACTGTTTGCCCAGGCTGGCTTTGGACCAAGATCCTCCTGATCACTGCCTCCCTAGTAGCTGGGATTACAGGCAATCCCTTGCTGGATGCTTGCTGGCATCCAGCAAGATGGAGCTCTTTTTTTTTTTTTTTTTTTTTTGCTGGGGTTTGAACTCAGGGCCTTGAGCCACTTACTGGCTTTGAACTGTGACCCTTCTGATCTCAGGATTACAAACTTGGAACCGCCACATCCAGCCCTTTTTTTTTTTTTTTTTGTGGCATTGATGTTTGAATTCAGGGCCTCACACTTGCTAGGCAGGTGCTGTACCACTTGTGTGTTTTTCCAAGATAGGGTCTGGTGAACTATTTGCCTGGGGTGGTTTTGATATGATGCCTGGGTGATTTTTTTTTTTTTTTTTTTTTGGGATGGATTCTCACTATACTTCCCAAATTCCTCAATTTCCTGTGTTCAGGTGACCCTCTTGCTTCAGCCTCACTAGTGGTTGGAACTACAGGGGTTATACCATCACACTTAGTTCCTTATACATTCTTATTTCACTCCTTTTTTTTTTTACATACAAAAAGATGATCATACATCTTTTTTTCTTCACTGAACAAACTATTTCTGTGGGTTTTTTTATGTTGTTGTTTGGCAGAACTGGAATTTGAACTCAGGGCCTTGTGCTTGCTAGGCAGGCTCTCTACCACTTGAGCCATGTCCCCTGCCCTAGTTTTTTAGTTATTTTTTGAATAGGGTATTGCATTTATGCCCAGGCTGGCCTGTACAACAATCTTCCTATTTATACTACTCATGTAGCTGGAATGACAGGTGCATTCCACTATGCCTAGCTTTTTATTGGTTGAGATGGGATCTTGTGAACTTTTGCTGGCCTCAAACCACAATCCCCCTGATCTTCACCTCCTGAGTAGCTAGGATTACAGGCATGAGCCACCTCCCTGGGCTGAACAAACGCTATTTCTTAGAGGGCTTTACTTACTAGTATGTAAGAAGCTTTCTCATAAAACGCAAGGGACTTACTTAATTGGACTCCTTTGATCATTGTTTTGGTCCTTTCTGGTGTCTTGTGTCATAAATGCTGCTGCAGTGAGTGGCCTGATGGCACTTCAGGTGCTTGGTGGTTGTTCAGGATGAACTTCTCAGGCCTGGACCCCGAAGAATGCCCCGGCAGCCTAGGATTTTTCCACACTGGTACCCACAACCACAATGGCCAGCGTACTTTGGTCTGTCCTCCACGAGCGCAAGGCTGTGAGGCCAGGAGTAAGTAGCCTGTGGCCACAGGGTGTAAGCCATGGGACTGAGCTGCCCTCCTACTGGGACCTTCTCTCCATTGGTGTAGCAGCCCCATATGTGCCTCCACATGTCCAGCAGATCCATTGGGACTCCCCTGTGCAGTCCACTGCAGGGGTCCTTTCTGTGTGTAGGATGAGTCTGAGTGTCTATGACACCTTTATCCCAGGTCCCGTTGGCCTCTATGCTGATGCCAGCTTCTCTCCCACGACGCTGAGCTCTGCCTCACCCTGTTGACCGACACACACACGTGTAGACATTATTCTACAGAATGACATAAGTAGTTTAGTTTTCCTAGAATGGTGGGCATAGGCTCTTTTTTTGTTGTTTTTTGGTGGCACTGGGATTTAAACTCAGGGCCTTAAGCTTAGCTAGGCAGTTGCTCTTACCACTTGAGTCACTCTGCTAGCCCTTTTTTTGTGATGATGTTTTTTAAGATAGGGTCTTGTGGACTATTTGCCCAGGCTGTCTTCGAACCACGATCCACCTGATTGCTGTCTCCTGAGTAGCTAAGATTATGGGTGTGAGCCACCAGTGCCTGGCTTATGCTCTCATTTTTTGCTAATGGCTATCATTACAAATGAAGTCATCTCTTCTGGTTGTAAGTTACAGGAACTAACTCCAAAAGGCCTTAGCACTACAGGAGTGTAAAGTCCCCAGAACCAGGCAGAGGGTAGGTAGGCTTGAGTGCTTGGCCTGGGTCATAGCCAGTTTCCTGTGTCAGCTGCCCAGTTGCTGCTCACTGACCTATGGTGTGGGGCTTCCCCTGTGATGTGCAGCTGGAGGCAGAAGAGCTCTCTTATTTCCATCTCCATGGTCCTGCCCTTGCCTTCCACCTGACCTGCTGAGTGGGTTTCAGTAGTGTGGGGGGTTCCAGAATGGAGGGCTGCCAGAAGGGATGCAGTTTGCTTCTGGATATACACTGAAGAACCTGCACTTTCAAAGACGTGTACTGTGTATGCTCACCTGTGGGCGCAGGAGCCCTTAGGGGTGCCCAGTCTCCTGCCCCACTTCTTGACTTTTCTGAGCCATTTCCCTCCATGCCCCTTGTCTCTTCTGTCCTTTCTCTGGACAGGGCACACCTCCACCTTTCCCTTGTCTCTCTCTCTATGTGACTGAAGTAATAACTTATGTTCTTTGTAACTGTCAGGCTCTGGGCTCTTGCTGCATTACAGATGCTGGGAGGTAGGTGTGAGAGGCACTGTGGTGGAGTGGTTAACAGGGAAATTCTGGATTTAGCTATGGCCTTGTTTTCCCTGTGTGGAAATTGGGATGATGGCAGAGACCTGCTAGAGAGGGTTGTGGCAGTGAGGGTGGGTGGGTGAGGGGCTGGGAGGTTGGGTAGGTTGCATGTGTTCTCACTAGAGCTGTGGAGCCTGGGCTGGGGTCTGGATGCTGCCTGTGATGAAGGCTGGCTGCCCTGTGGTGCTCTCTACATTCTGGGGTCAGCTTAGTGGTGTATACAGGTTGAGGGGTGGGGCTGGAGGCAGTGGAGTGTCCTCCAGGAGGCTACTCCATGCTGGGTCTCACACGCTGATGTCGCTCACCCAGGCTTGAAGCTGAGAACTGGAATAAATCAACTGGATTATCTCTGTTTGACATTCCAGGGAGGCTTGGGAAGGATTTATGGACTGGGGTGGGAGCTATCCTGCTCAGCCCCTTCTTAGCCTGGGTGTGGCGTGGTGGCCATTTGGTGGGACTCTGCTGAGCCAGCCACCAGGCCTTAATGGTTCAGCTGAGTTTTCATGGCTCTGGCAGCAGGAAGGAGGGACCGCACCTTAGTGAAGTTCAGCTGGGTCAGTCAAGATCAGGTAGGCAAGATGTGGCCTTTCCTTCTAGAACCTAAGCTTCTTTTGCTGACCTCTGGCCTGTCCCCTTTGAGGCTGGCTTCTGGAGGGAGGACAGGCATCTGGGAGATCTAGGGTTTGGGGAAGCTCAGAGCTAGGATGCCCCTGGAAGGAGGACCATTAGGGTGGGCCACTTGCATGGTAGGCCTGGGTCTCCTTGGGTTCGTTGGGCACCTCCTTTTGTCTCAGAAGAAGCAGTTAAGCTAGGCAGGGGCTAGGCTAGGAGGTTACATGGAGACTGCCTTCAGGCAGCTTCCAGTGAGAAGTTCAGGAAAGTGGGCCCAGTGCTCGGAAGCTGTGTGGTAGGGAGGACAGAGCCTTCTGTGCGGCCAGAGGTAGCTCCTATCCCTGTGCTCATTTTTCCTATTGTGGCCAGAGGGGTCATGTTGTGCTCTGTTGTACCTCAGAATAAGAAACCAAAGGCCAGCATGTTCCATTTGAAAAGTGGTTGCTGTTCTTGGGTTATTTTCTCTTGTATAGAACAGGGCACCAGCATATCAAATAACAGGGGTGGAGTGACATCTCAGATCTTCTACCTGTGGTCAGGGTAGGCCAAGCAAGGGTAGTACACTATGCTCTTTGCTGTGATTTTTTTTTTTTGTGTGTAAGCTGGTAGTGTCTTTCTTTCCTGTAGGATGCTGATGACTGAGAGCCCTGTCAAGGAGAAGGGTGTCCACTGCAGTGGCAGCACGGAGGGAGGACTTTGCCATGCTGGTGGAGTCTAGAGTCCTGTCCTCGCATAGAGGTGCTGGCAGGTTCCTGAGGACCTGGCCTGTCTGTCTTGGGTGAGGATGATGAGCCCTAGAGGGAAAGATCAGGATGGGGCTCCTGGGCAGGGTGTTGGGCAGCTTCTCCTTACCTTGGCCCCAGCAGTCTGTGGAGGTGGCCAAACCCAGGAGCAGCTGGTCTGAGGGCAAGTGCCTCTGAGAAAGCTCTTGACCTACAGAATGCATAAGAGGGGTGGAGGGCCCTGTTGGGCCTGGCCCCAGGAAGCCTCAGACCAGATATACAGGGGGCTAAGTCTAGGCAGGTTAGACCTGTGGAGTGTGGCTCCAGGTCTTAGGAGGGACCTGACAGGCCTGATATGATCTGGCTAGCAGTTCTCTTCAGAATACCTCAGAAGCAGTGTCCATGGAGACCCCTATGTACCTGTCTGGCCAGAGGAGAGGTGGGTTTGAGGCTTGGCTATTTGGGGAACAACAGACCTCTTTGGATAGACCTCTATTTATTATTATTATTATTTTGCAGTTCTGGAGTTTGAACTCAGGGCCTTCACCTTGAGCCACTCCACCAGCCCTATTTTTGTGAAGGGTTTTTCGAGATAGGATCTCGTGGAACTATTTGCCCGGGCTGGCTTCGAACCATGATCCTCCTAATCTCTACTTCCTGAGTAGCTAGGATTACAGGTATGCGCCACTGGCGCCCAGCCTTGGGTAGACCTCTTCTGGGCAGAGCATAGCCTTGCCTTCTGGAGAATGGGCCAGAAGCAGTCCAGTGACTGCATCTGGGTATAGGGCAGGACTAGGGCTGTAGCAAGCACACATACCAGCAGGGCTGTGCCCCAGTTAAACTTGTTTGCCGTTGGGTCTCAACAGACCCCAAGGCAGGTGAGTCACCTATGCCTGTGTCTACACAACTCTGGCTTTTAGTGCAGCCCAGGATTGTCGAAATATTGGCCGGCCTGGGTAGCATCCCTGTGAGGAACAGGCCAAAATGCTAGGCCATGAGAGGGTGGGGAGCTGGTCAGGCCAAAGTCCAGGAGGCAAGGTCTGTCAAGTCCTTGGGCCATCCCAGGGAGGAGACCTTGCCCAGCCCAGTGTCTGGCCCTGGGGCAGTCATGGGGTGATGGCCTTGCTGGGAGTAGGCAGTATTCCTGGTTCTACTGTTCCCCTGAGCAGGACAGCTGTGCAGCCCTTTCTGGTAAGCGGAGAGGCTGAGATGCTCCTCATTTATTCTTCCCTGGGCGTGTGGAGTAGAGTTGGGAGTAGAGCAACTAACATTGTATGTTCTGCTGGCAGAGGGTGGGCCCCACACAGGGCAGGACCCTGAGGTGGCGGGGAGCCAGGTCTCACCTGAGCTTGCCCGCCCTGCCCTATGGGCTGGCCTCGATGTGCTTCCTTATTTACTCCTCAGGTGTGTGCAGCTGCCGGAAGGGGAGGCTCCCCTGAGGACATATTGACAGCCCCCTGCCCTCTCTGTGCCCTAGCTGCCTAAAGATTTTCAGCCCTGGACACTGGGAGCCAGGACCCCAGGACTGACCACACGCCCTGCCTCTGCAGCCATACCTCATTAGTCCTAATGTACTGACTGGAAGGGAGGGGGTGGACATGGAAGGAGAGGAGAGGCTCCCAGGGGCTCTCAGCTGCCCGCTGCTGATTGGCCCTGCCCTCCCTTCTCCTCGGCAGGGTGCCAGAAAGCTGGAACTTTGCTATCTGGGTAATTAGCTTCAGACCCTGGACTGAGGCCGGCCAGGTCTTAGGGCTACTTCCCACAGGCTGTGCACCCTGACCCCAAGAGGGAGGTGAGGCGCTGCTTGTAGAGAGGCCCTACTAGCTAAACAGCTGAGGTGCCAGGCCTCCCTGGGGAGTGGGTGAAGGTGTCCCCTACACTGCCCTCCTTGCCTGGGCTGTGCTCCTCAGGGCCTGGGCCTGGTCACAGCGTGGGGCCTCCTGACCCAGCCTTGCCAAGGGCAAAGGGCACCAGGCCTTGGGAAGGGGATGCCCCCAAGGGAGACAGTCCAGCCAGCTGCCCCACCCCTCAGGCCCAGCCTGGCCCCCAAATCCCCCACTGTGGTGCTCCAAGCAGCCCTGTGGGCAGGCATCCCCCACAATGGCCGAGCACCTGGAGCTGCTGGCAGAGATGCCCATGGTGGGCAGGATGAGCACTCAGGAGCGGCTAAGGCATGCCCAGAAGCGACGTGCCCAGCAGGTGAAGATGTGGGCCCAGGCTGAGAAGGAGGCCCAAGGCAAGAAAGGCCATGGGGAGCAGACACAGAAGGAGGCAGCTGTCCAAGGGCTTCGGAAGCAGGTCCTCTTCCCTGCTAGCATTGCCCTTCTGGAAGCCGCTGCCCGAAATGACCTAGAGGAAGGTGAGTGTGTTTTCGTTCCAGGGTGGCGCACAGTGCATGTTCCCATCCATCTGGGTGTGGCCTCAGCTTGTGTTGAGGCTCAGGACTGGACCTAGACCTGTATGCAGATCCAGGTCTCAAGCTACATAGGATGGCCCTGAGTAACTGTCCTTCGGCAGGACAGCATACAGAAAGTTCTACTGTGAAGCAAGCCAAATTCGGGAGGACTAGGCTACAGGAGGGCCTGTGGGGGCCTGCAAAAGAATCCAGTGCTTGGGGAGCTGGGGCAGCAGATAGCCCTCACTGCTATTGGTCACCTCAAGTGCAGGGTGCAGGGCTGCCCACGCAAGTCCTACTCCCTGTGTGCTTGGATCCTAAGGCCCTGCCTCTATAGAGCGGGTTGGTAAAGCTCTCTAGTTACAAGCAGATAACAGGGTTGGCCAGACTCAGGGTGAGGCCCAGAGCACACATGGCTGGCTCTGCTTGATGCTGCCCCAGGACTTACCTTTGACCCTTCCTCCTGGTTAGAACCTTCCTAGCCCAATGACAGGCTTGACCTTGCAGCAGGCCCCTGTTGCTCTCCTGTGCCTCATGCTATAGCCTCACTGTGTGCAAGGCTTTGAGGGAAGAGGCATCTTGGTGTCTCTTGGGCTTTTTCTCCTTCACTTTGGGGTAGAGGGTGAGGAGGAGTGGGTAGTGCCTGGACAGGAATCCTCCTGAGAGGCCTGGAGGCAGGGGGAGTGGAAAAGGGTACTGTGGGTGTGCCACAGGTCAGGCCACAGGGAACTATGGGGAAAAGGAGGGTGTGTACTGCTGCATGACCAGTGAGGACCCCAGTGACCTTGGCAAAAGTCTGGGTCTGTGATGGGACTTCTTTAGGGGAGTGAGGATGGGGCTGAGCACTGCTTGTAGGGATGAGGGCCTGTCATCAGAGAAGGGCAGGAGTGGGTGGGCCTTGTGCTGGGGCTGAGTAGGATTCTTGGACAGCCACCTGCCCCCTGCTCCAGGCTGCAGCAGCTACAGGGCAGGGAGTGAAGTGTGGGATTGCTGGCAAGCTGCCCACAGGAGGGCCTGTTCTGGGGTCTGAGGGGTTGGGTGCTGTGATATGGGAGGGGTAGGGGCTGCTATGTGTGTAGTCCATTTGGCAGATAGATGCCCCATGCTTCTCAGCCTGTGTGCCTCTGTACCAGTCTTCCACTACCCTTCCCTAATTCCTGGGCAACAGCACAATGGGCCCAGATAGCCTGAGGCCATGGACAAAAAGGCCAGTAACAGCCTTGCTCTGATCTGCCTCCTCCTTCTTGCAGTCCACCAGTTCCTTAGGAGTGGGGTCAGCCCTGACCTGGCCAATGAGGATGGTCTGACTGCGCTGCACCAGGTCTGAGCATGTGGGGTGGGGGTGGAGGGTGAGGGACTGGCTAGGGCTGTGGTGCTCAGATTGCTTATTTGCAGTGCTGCATCGATGACTTCCGAGAGATGGTGCAGCAGCTCCTGGAGGCCGGGGCTGATGTCAATGCCCGTGACAGTGAGTGCTGGACACCGCTGCATGCTGCAGCCACTTGTGGCCACCTGCACCTGGTGGAACTCCTCATTTCCCGGTAGGACCTGCAGGTGTCAGGGAGGGGCTTCCACACAGATGGTGGCTGAGTTAGCTCCTTTGTGAAGCTTCCTGGCCTTGGCTTCCTGTGTCCCTGCATCCTCTGCCAATCCTGCTGGGACGCTGGGGGGAAGTGTGTGTGTGCTTAGCATGGTCTGGTGCCTGCCTGGCAGACTGGACCTCCCCAGGATCTGCATGGAAAAACACCATTTTGGTCAGGGTGGAATTGGTAAGGAGGGAAGGGGAGTAAAGAGTCTGGGTAGGCCTAGAGGAGGTGCCTAGTGACCTCCTGTTACTTCTATCCAGGGGTAAGGCAGAGTAGAGTAGGCTGGAGGTTTCACCATGATTTAAGGGCTTTCCCATAATTTTATGCCTCCCTAGTCAGGCATGAGTATGCCTACTGATGGGGCTCAGCCATCCTTGTATGTGTGGATGGCTATCTCTGTCATACCCACGTACAGGTACTGGGGGTGGGGGTGTACATTTGGCAGGGAGTTGGTGATGGGCAGCAAGTGGTCTCCAACCCTAGCAGCCCTGGCTGTACTCTACCCTGCACAAGCACCCTTTCTGTGTTATTTGGTCCTCAGAGTCCTTGCACACATACTGCAGGTGCACCCTTACATATTCGGGGGCAGATGGGTGCTGTGAATGTGGAGCCTAGGTGGATAGAGACTGCAGAATGGGCTTTCTGGGTCAAGGACAGGATCTAGGATGGAGGGGTGGACCAGATGGGCCCAGAGGCCACCTCTGCCAGCAGCAGCTGGAGCCTGGGCCTTCCCATGTTTGCCCTCACTTTCTGAGGGCAGCCCGAGGCTGAGGGCCTCTGCAGAGGGAAGACCTTCTGAAAGGAGTTAGGGATTCCCTGAATGAGGGGCATGGTGTATGAAGAAGGGTCCTGAGGCCAGTGACCCGTCTGTCTTCCCTGCAGTGGTGCAGATCTTCTGGCAGTCAACACTGATGGGAACATGCCCTATGACCTGTGTGAGGACGAGCAGACCCTGGACTGCCTCGAGACTGCCATGGCCAACCGTGGTGAGTGTGCTGAGCTTGCCTGCAAGGGGTAGGCCCAGGGCATGCTCTCTCTGAGCCTGCTGCCCCATAGGTATCACCCAGGACAGCATCGAGGAGGCCCGGGCGGTACCAGAGCTGCGCATGCTAGATGATCTCCGGAGCCTGCTGCATGCTGGGGCTGACCTCAATGACTCCCTGGACCATGGGGCCACACTGGTGAGGGCTTGGTCACATGGGGGAGTCTGGTCTGGGCTGGGTGGTTGCTGCCAGAGGGATATGGGGCTGGGATTCAGGGCTGGGTGGCCTGTCTGCAGCTGCACATCGCCGCTGCTAATGGGTTCAGCGAGGTGGCTGCCCTGCTTCTGGAGCACGGAGCCAGCCTGAGCGCCAAGGACCGTGATGGCTGGGAGCCACTGCACGCTGCGGCCTACTGGGGCCAGGTGAGTGTGGGCAGCAGCAGGCAGGTGGGCAGCTTCTGGTTCCAGCTCAAGCCCTCAGCAGCTCCTGCTGGCTGCCTGCAGGTGCAGCTGGTGGAGTTGCTTGTGGCACACGGGGCTGACCTAAACGGAAAATCCCTGATGGATGAGACACCCCTTGGTGAGCATGAGGGCCATCTCCATCTGGTGGATGGGACAGGACAGGTGTGGATGGCACCTGTGACACCTCTGCCCACCTCTCCTCAGATGTGTGTGGGGATGAGGAGGTGCGGGCCAAGCTGCTGGAGCTGAAGCACAAGCAGGATGCGCTTCTGCGAGCCCAGGGCCGTCAACGCTCCCTGCTGCGCCGCCGTACCTCCAGTGCAGGCAGCCGTGGGTGAGTCTCCTGCTGCAGCCCAGCCCCCGTAGAACTCTCGGGGCAGCGTCCAGGGGCCAGCCAACAATTTGCCTCATCCACCCCCCAACTCCCGGCACCCCCCCCAGGAAGGTGGTGAGGCGGGTGAGCCTAACCCAGCGCACCAACCTGTACCGCAAGGAGCACGCCCAGGAGGCCATTGTGTGGCAACAGTCACCACCTACCAGTCCAGAGCCACTGGAGGATGATGAGGACCGGCAGACAGATGCTGAGCTCCGGCTGAGGCCCCCAGAGGTGAGTACCTAGCCCCTGTACTGCCCTAGCTTTGGAGTGGCCTTTGCAGGTGGGCATGGTTCTCCATTTGCACCAGCTCCCTTGTGGAAGTGGTAGGGTGAGTTACCCTACATTCCTAGATGGGTTGGTGCCCCAAAGAAGTGGGCTGCTGACCTCCCAACCCCTTGTGTCTGGCCCTCAACAATCACTCCATACAGCCTGGAGACCAAGGCCAGGACAAGTGAGAGAGGGCACCTACTGATGGCCCCTGGGGACCTGGTTTTGCCCACAGGAGGAGGACCCCGAGGTGGCCAGGCCACACAATGGTCAAGTAGGAGGCCCCTCAGGGCGTCACCTATACTCCAAGCGGTTAGACCGGAGTGTCTCCTATCAGCTGAGCCCCCTGGAGAGCACCACCCCTGATACCCTTGTCCGAGACAAGGCCCACCACACCCTGGCACAGCTCAAGCGCCAGCGAGCTGCCGCCAAGCTTCAGCGAACTGCTCTTGAGGGGCTGGAGGCCCCTGAGCATGGCCTGCCTTCTGACACCGAGACCTCACAGCCTGACTGTGGCTTCAGGGCAACTGGAGACCCACCCCTGCTCAAGCTCACAGCCCCCTCAGAGGAGGCCCCTGTGGAGAAGAGGCCATGCTGCCTGCTCATGTGAAAGGCCATTGTCTCCAGGCCTGAGGCTGCCTCACAGCCCTGCCCTGGAGACGACTCACTCCCAGTGTGTGCCCTGGTACTGCAGAGGGACAGCCAGTATAGAGGCTCCCTTTGCTTCTACCACCCAGGACACTGGCTTCCTCTCTCAGGGATGGACCTGTGACAAAGTCATACCTGTGGGCATCAGGCCGCAAAGACTGTTTGTCCTGTGACTCTTGATAAAGGCTGTTTGCCACCGAGCTTTCCTGTGTGTCTTGCTGGGGAAGGGCAGGTAGTGCTGCTGGGTCTGGTGCCACCCATGCCCAGAAACTCTCAGGCCTGTAGGTACGAGCTGGGGCTCGCAGGTGGCAGCCCTGGCCCCAGTGTGGGAAAGAGGCCTACAGCCACAGGCAAGAAGCCTGGCCTTCACCCACACCCTCCCTGGCTGTGTTCAGCTTCTCAGAGGCTCTTCTGTAACTCTTTGCTTTCCTGAGGGCAGCGAGGGTACTTTGGAAGGAGATTCTTTGGGGGCAAGGGCTGAGGGTGACCATACAGAAGGATAGGGCTGAGGCAGTGTTTTCCACAGGACTCCTGAGCCAAAGCCAGTGGCACAAAATAGGCACAAGACTGGCACTAGGCACTTTCCAGGGACAGTGGGTCCCTGGTTCCTGGCATGCAGCCCTGGTCCTGGGGCCTGCCTGCCAACTTCCACAAGGGGTGGTATAGGTGACAAGCAGTTGGCCATTCAGGCAGAGCTGGCTGGACACAATGTGTCAGGATAAGAGGGGTCCCTTAGGGTCCTCAAGCTGGAAGGCCAAGGGCACTTCCAGATCATGACCATGCAGGAAGCTTTTCATGGCAACCATGCCAGGTGACATGGGTTCTGGCTATTCTCCCCTTCTGGGCCAGAGCCACCAGCACAAAATAGGCACAAGACTGGCACTAGGCACTTTCCAGGGGCAGTGGGTCCCTGGTTCCTGGCATGCAGCCCTGATCCTGGGGCCTGCCTGCCAACTTCTGCCAGGGGTGGTATAGGTGACAAGCAGTTGGCCACTCAGAGCTGGCTGGGCACCGTGTGTCAGGATAAGAGGGGTCCCTTAGGGTCCTCAAGCTGGAGGGCCAAGGGCACTTCCAGATCATAACCATGCAGGAAGCTTTTCATGGCAACCATGCCAGGTGACATGGGTTCTGGCTATTCTCCCCTCCTTGTGGACAATGACCTGGTCAGCCCAATCTTCAGGGCCCGCCTTTCCTTCAGAATCTGTGGTTGGAGGGCTGGTGCCCTAGGCAGGGTTGGGGGAGGGCCCAGGGCTGGGTGCTGGTTAAATTTAGAGTGGGGTGGTGCAGTTGCCTGAGGTCCACCTGCTACCACGGCTGCTACTTGGGCCCTGCTGCCAGGAGGCGGGCAGTGACTGGCTCTGCCTGGGGCCAGGCACATATTAACCTGTGCTCTGGCCTAAGGACCAGAGAAGCAGGCCACTGAGCTGGGAGGCTGCTGTGGCAGCAGTGCCAAGAAGAGCAAGGTGAGAGGCTCATGTGTGTATGTGTGTGTGTGTATGCACCCCACCCAAGATTCCAGATGGCTGTATCCCTGCCTGCAAAGGGCAGAGGGGCCAAAGCTCACCTTGGGTCTGACCAGTGCCTGCTGCCCAGCTCAGTGGCATGACTCCATGACCCTCAGCTGAGGCACAAATGCAGCCATGGTGGCCTTTGTGGCCAGCACTGAGCAGGGCCTATCAGCTATCTGCACAGCCTGTGGAGGTGGAACTCTGAGGACCAATCACAGCCCACTTCCTGCTCTCTCCACCAATCAGGAACAGGAGGGAAGGGGGTCTTAGGTTACCCCAAGCCTGGAGTGTGGCCCCAAGGGCAACCTCAGGGGACTGTGTGTTGAAAGGACATGAGGGCAGCCCAGGGTGAGTTGCTGAGGGTCCAGGGCCAGCCTACCCTGTCTCCAGTGCTCTCCTGCCTTCTCTCAGCCCCTTGGAATGCTGATCAGGAACCAAGGTCCAGCCACAGAATTCTTGCAGCCTCCAGACCATGGCTGCTGGCCCAGTGGAACCCAGAGTCTGAACTCGGTCCCCTCCCCCAGTGTCCCCCAGGTTCACTCCTAAGGCCTGGCCCAGTTTCCTAGGGGATAGGCTGGTTGGTCCAAGTGAAGATGGGGGAAGGTGAGAGGGCACGGCCTTGGCTGGGCCACACTGGGGTAAATCTCCAGTTGGCCCCTGACTCCATTCTCATCTTGGTCACTTCTCAGCTCCTCCAACCCCTCAGGGCCATGGGACCCAAACACTGAGCTCTCTCCTCTTCTGACACCCAGTCTGTCAGAGTTATTGAGCCGTCTGTCTCTACTCCCCATGTGGGTCTCCTGCTCCCCTATCCTGGGGACACTGGGCGGCACTGGGCCTTGCCCCAAGCTCCGCCTGCCACCTCACCCACTCCCTCTGGCTCCCTGGGGCAGAACTGTGCCCAGCCGGGTGGGGCGGGCCCAGGCTGCTCTAGCTCCTTCAGCCCTCTTTGTCCCTTTCAGGGAGCCAGCAGGCTGCACTAAAGAGGGTGCTGTCTCAGCCTTGGGTTCCCTACCCAGACTCCCTGCTCCTGACCCCGAACCCCCAAGCCTGGACCCTCTCCCCAAGCACAATCATGGCCTTGAGAGAAAATGATCAAAGCCAGTCTTCAAAGAATGGCCTGAAGGAGAAGGTGCTGACGCTGGACACCATGAACCCGTGTGTGCGGAAGGTGGAGTATGCGGTGCGGGGCTCCATAGTGCTGCGGGCTTTGGAGTTGGAGCAGGAGTTGCGCCAGGTATGGCCCTGGATCCCCTGCTGCCCCTCCTGCTGTATCTGGGCTGCTGAATCAGTCCCCAGTCCACATGGGGTCCTCAGCTCCCCTCCCCCCAGCACAGTGAGTAAGAGCTGTGGGAGTGGCAGTGCCCAATCTCACTGTATTATGCTCCTTTTCCTTCCCAGGGTGTGGAGAAGCCCTTCACCGAGGTCATTCGTGCCAACATTGGGGATGCCCAGGCCATGGGGCAGAGGCCCATCACTTTCTTTCGCCAGGTGAGGTTACTGCACTGCCTGTGGTTCACCCTCCCCGCACCAAATGACCTGGCCTGAGCACTGTGTCCTCCCAGGTTCTGGCCCTCTGCGTCCACCCGGATCTCCTGAGCAGCCCTGACTTCCCAGATGATGCCAAGAGAAGGGCCGAGCGCATCTTGCAGGCATGTGGGGGCCACAGCCTGGGTGAGTGCCAGCGCCAGATGGGTCCGAGTCCCAGGAAGGAGCAGAAAGGGTGGGTCCCTTGGAAGGGCTGCAGGGGGACTACCACCCTCATGGGCTCGCTCTGCTCTGCCTGCCTCTGGGTCCAGGGGCCTATAGCATCAGCTCTGGCGTCCAGCTGATCCGAGAGGACGTGGCGCAGTATATTCAGAGGCGCGACGGAGGCATCCCCGCAGACACCAACAACATCTTTCTGTCCACGGGGGCCAGCGATGCCATTGTGGTAAGCCAGGCCAGGGCAGGACACAGTGGCCCCTACGTTCGCGGCCCGGCCCAGCTGTCTGGCCTGGCTACACCGGCTCAGGGCGGGGGATAGGTGCAGACCCTGGCCCGCTAACGCCGCGCTCCCCTTCCCGCCCGCAGACGGTACTGAAGCTACTGGTGGCCGGTGAGGGCCGCACGCGCACGGGCGTGCTCATCCCCATCCCCCAGTACCCGCTGTACTCGGCGGCTCTGGCCGAGCTGGACGCTGTGCAGGTGGACTACTACCTGGACGAGGAGCGCGCCTGGGCGCTCGACGTGGCGGAGCTGCGGCGCGCGCTACGCCAGGCGCGTGACCACTGCCGTCCACGCGCGCTATGCGTCATTAACCCCGGCAACCCAACCGGTGCGCCGCCCGCCTGCCCCCGCCCCGCCCCGCCCCACGTCCCCGCCCCGGACCTGCCCGCCCCGCCCCGCCTCGCCCCGCCCTGCCGGGAACCGCGCCTGGGCAGATCCCGCCCACTCCACCTGCCCAGCTGTCTAGTGAGAGCGAGGGCGCCAGCCACTGACCATTGCCCATGTGTTGCGGTCCCCACGCCCCAGGGCAGGTGCAGACCCGTGAGTGCATCGAGGCCGTTATCCGCTTTGCCTTCGAAGAGCGGCTCTTCCTGATGGCTGACGAGGTGTGGACAGGGGTGCGCGCGGGAGGGGGGCAGCAGCACAGCATCCCATGTGACGACACCGCCCCTGCAGGTGTATCAGGACAACGTGTACGCCGAGGACTCGAGGTTCCACTCTTTCAAGAAGGTGCTCATGGAGATGGGGCCACCATACGCAGCACAGCAGGAGCTCGCCTCCTTCCACTCGGCCTCAAAGGGCTACATGGGCGAGTGCGTGCAGGTTGTGGGGGGATGCGGGAGGGATCTGCAGACTTTGGCCACTGCTCGGCCCCCTGTGCCCCGCCGTGCATCGACACCTCCCATCCCCCTCCCGGCAGGTGCGGGTTTCGCGGCGGCTACGTGGAGGTGGTGAACATGGATGCTGAGGTGCAGCAGCAGATGCTGAAGCTGATGAGCGTCCGGCTGTGCCCGCCTGTGCCTGGCCAAGCCCTGCTGGATATGGTAGTTAGCCCGCCCGCTCCCTCCGACCCTTCCTTCGTGCAGTTCCAGGCGGTGAGTGTCTGAGGGTGTCTCAGCCGGGGCTGGTGCCGCTTCCTCACGTGGCCCTGATCAACACCTCCGCGGGTACAGGAGAAGCAGGAGGTGCTCGCCCAGCTGGCAGCCAAGGCCAAGCTCACCGAGCAGATGTTCAACCAGATTCCTGGCATCCGCTGCAACCCAGTGCAGGGCGCCATGTATTCCTTCCCTCGAGTGCAGCTGCCCCCACGTGCAGTGCAGTGCGCTAAGGTCTGGCGATGTGAGACTGGGCAGTACAGGACTGAGATGGGCAGGGTGAGGGTGGGGCACTGTACGCTGACCACCTTCTGCACCTCTAGGAGCTTGGCCTGGCCCCAGACATGTTCTTCTGCCTGCGCCTGCTAGAGGAGACCGGCATCTGCGTGGTGCCTGGGAGTGGCTTCGGGCAGCGGGAGGGCACCTATCACTTCCGGTGAGGCCTGGTCCACACAGTCCCTGCCCACACCCATGCCTCTTGGCTTACCACTTCCCCATTTCAGGATGACCATTCTGCCTCCCATGGAGAAGCTGCGGCTGCTGTTGGAGAAGCTGAGCCATTTCCACACCAAGTTCACCCAGGAGTACTCCTGAGGAACCTGCTGGGGCCATGCTGGGCTGCCCTGGACTGACTGCCCCAGTCTCCGGGGGTCTCTGAAGCCCTCAGGAGGATTTAATGCTGTCTGCGGATTGGAAACCGGCCTCTGCAGGTCCCTAATAAAGCTGGGTGCTGGTCTGATGTCTTGCACAGCTGCAGAGATGACTGCAGCCTTTACCCTACCTGACTGCCTTCCAGTAGGCTTGGGGATTCCATCCCAGGGACTCTCAGCCCACCTTCTCAAGGAGGTCTCCCAGTGAGGGGCCCTCTCAGCATCCATTCACTTGTCCTAGAGATGAGGCACATATGTAGGCTGGGTCTTCAGTGCATTCTCTAGTCTGGGACACACAGACCATTCACATAAAAACCAATTGATGTCCCAGTGAGGAGTGGGAAGGCAGGCACGGGCCACTTGTGCCTCCTGGGGCTGTCCCAGAGCAGTCAGGGAGGGGATAGGCTGACAGGCGGTCCCATGGGGAAGTACATCAGAAACAGTAGCTTTCCCTGAGGAAGACACACAAAAGTATGTCCCTTGTTCTGGCCTTTCCTGTTTTAACACAGGAAAGAGCTGCTGGGCAGCATGACCACCAACTCAGGAGTGACAGGGCTCAAGGAAGTTGAGAGCAGGGTCGATCCTTTTGCAAACCAGTCCTCTGGCTGGGGTCCTTTAAATGTGCAGAGGAGAGAACACCCCTGGTGAGAACTAGTTACTCTTGCCCTCGGAACAAAGGGATGAGCATATACCCTGAGCACACTAGACACTGCTGTGGGCCACTGGGCTGCAGAGTTCTTCCGAGGTGGGCATGGCAGTCCCCATTTATTTTAGGACGATGATTATTTGTGGTACTGGGGATTGAACCCGGAACCACTGAGCTACAGCCAAAGCTCTTTTTGAAGCTCTCCCTAAGTTGCCTAGGTTGGCCTTGAACTTGCAATTCTCCTGTCTCAAGCCTTCTGAGTGGCTGAGATTTGAACCTGTGGGAAGGAGTCGCAATTCTGTAGATGAAAATATCTGTGACAGGACACCCACTCAAAGTGGCTAGCAGCCAAGAAAATGCATGCCTGCCAGGACGCATAGACTTGGAGACAGAGCTGGCCAAGGCACCCAGTGTTGTACATTCTGGAGGTGTTTTTTGGTTTTCCAATGACATTTTGGAGGTGGTTCCTAACTAAGGTTTCACTACAGTCTCATCCTGGCTTTGCTCTGGGCAGGAGAGATTACATGTGGTCCTTTCTTGCAGAAACAGAATCACGCTTGATTAGGCTGGCTTTCCTAGCTTGTCACAACACTAGGGGCCATTATGGGCAGTGTGGTAGTGTCATTCTGGCTGAGCCCCTGTGGGCTTTTCACAGAAATCTGCCTTCCTTGGGTCTCTGTGGTCACTGCTTTGGGGAGGTAGCTGAAGCCACAAGCAGAAGCACACAGGAGTAAACAGGCTGACTCCTCCGTAGGGGCTGGACACAGGGAAGTGCTTCTGGAGAGAATCTAGTAACTTGGAACAGGAGCAGAGCAGGTGATCATCACTCAGTGAAAAGATCGATTCCTACGTTCAAGGCCGGCACCCCGGCTTTGCAGCTCCTCCCTGCAACTCCTATAGGTCAAAGGACTCCCGCGCATCCGCGGGCAGCGGGGCCTGCGGACGGCTTGCCCAGACTAGCCACTGGGGGCGCTCGAGAGTCGGCGAGCCCACGCTCAGGGACCGAAGGGGTTTCTGTGGCCCGGAAGACCTTCCGGCGCTGAGGCGGATGCCCACGGGCTCTGGCTGCTCGGTGTCCACGAACATCAGCTTGCGCGTGGCCCCGCGGCTCCGGAGGCCCGAGAAGCCAGTGGGAGACGGCTGTGCGTGCGCAGGCGGAGAGGCCCCGCCCCCGCGCAAAGCGCGCTGGGAGACGTGGGGTCGCCGCTCCTGCCCGGTGCGGCCCTGGCCACTAGCTCACTTTGTCCCCAGCTTCCTTTCTTCCAGAGTCTCGGCAGCACCAGCGCCCCATCGCGCGCATCCGGACCCTAGCTTGTCTAGCCTTGACCCCATGTGGGTGGACCAGGTCCTGGCAGACCCCACTCGGAGTCTAACCTCCCGGCCTCGATCCCAGCCGGAGGCTACTGGGCCCACCCGGCGCCGGCCATGCACGGGAAGCTTCTGCCGCTGGCCGGTCTCTATCTGGTCCAAGGCTTGCCCTATGGGCTGCAGTCCGGCCTGCTGCCCATCCTGCTGAGGGCCCGCGGCCTCTCCTTGACGCGCGTGGGCCTGGCCAAGGGGCTGTACGCACCATGGCTGTTCAAGTTGGCGTGGGCTCCACTGGTGGACAGGCGGGGCTCCCCTCGGGCCTGGCTTACTCTCAGTACAGCGGCCCTGGGCATGGTGTGTGGGCTGCTGGCGGCACTGCCTCCCACCCAAACTGGCCAGGCGGGTCTGCCCACCACCATGGTGGGGCTGTTACTGCTTCTAAACCTGGGTGCGGCTGTGCAAGATGTGGCTCTGGACACAGTGGCTGTTCAGCTCCTGGAGCCAAGGGAACTGGGACCCGGAAACACCGTGCAGGTGGTGGCTTACAAGCTGGGGGCAGCGCTGGCTGGGGGCGGACTATTGGCCTTCTTGCCCTCCCTGTCTTGGCCACTGCTCTTCCTGCTGCTGGCTGCCACCTACTGGCTGGCTGCTGCCCTGGCCTGGACTGCACCAGCCCTGCGACAGCTGCCATGGCCTCAGCCCTCAGAGCACACCTCACACCTTCTGCAGAATTTGCTGGCCGTGCCTGGGACTTTGTGGACAGCAGGCTTTGTGCTCACATACAAGTTGGGTGAGTGAGGCAATGAGTCAGGCAACAACGGTTGAGCTGTGGCCTCAGCTCCAGACCCAGCCCTTCAGTTGCTCTGGAGTTGCTTCATGGTGACCCTGGGCTTGGCTAATGACCAGTGCCCTATTCTCACGACACCTGTGGCCCGGGAAGATGAGGCAGGGCAGGGACATGGCTGTTGGACCCAGGTGGGGAGAAGGGAGGTGGTGCAGGTATGGGGACCTCCTCTGCTTATGGCCTCTTGCAGGTGAGCAGGGTGCTAGCAGCCTGTTTCCACTCCTCCTGCTGGACCATGGTGCTTCTGCTCCAGAGCTGGGGCTGTGGAGTGGTTTCGGTACTGTGGCTTGCTCCATTGCTGGCTCCTCCCTGGGTGGAGCCCTACTGGCCAGGCACTGGTGAGCCCTCCCTAGCCCATCTAAGCCCTCTCTCCTGCCCCTGCTGGGTATCCTCTGACCTGATCAGTTCTCCCCCCACACCCTAGGCAATCACTTTCCCTGTTGAGGTCAGTGCTGTGGCTCCGCCTTGGGGGCCTGGTCTGCCAGACTACCCTGCTCTTCCATCTGGACACCCCAGGTGCTAACGTGGGGCCTGGCACAGTCCTGAGAGGTGAGGGGCTGGCCTTGGTGGGGGGAGGGACCAGGAACCGAAGGCCCTGCTGACCTCTGCCCTCCCAGGGATGGCCTTGCTGAGCCTATGTCTGCAGCACTTCCTGGGGGGCCTGGTCACCACGGCCACCTTCACTGTGATGATGCATTGCAGCCAGCTGGCACCTAGAGCACTACAGGTGAGGGGATGTGGCAGGGACACTAGGGGACTTCAGAACTGAGAAGCCACAGGACCCTGACTCCTATCCCCATCTCTAGGCCACACATTACAGCCTCCTGGCCACTTTGGAGCTACTGGGCAAGCTGCTATTGAGTACCCTGGCTGGAGTGCTGGCTGATGGCTTTGGCCCACGTCCCTGCTTCACTGTCTTCCTTGTACTTTCAACCCTACCCCTTCTGGACCTGGGCCTGGCACCCAACACACTGGCCTGAGCTGGGCAGCGGGACTGTCAATAAAGTTGAATGAGCTATGGCTTGGATGTCTGGAGCAAAGGAGGTGCAGACTCAGGGCTATATTATCAGAAAGGAAGACCTGTACAGTGAACTGAGTACCTTTTATTATGCATTTTGGAGCCACCTTGTCCCCACACTGGTACTGGTGGGTTTTGCATACTGGTTTATGGTCCTGGTCACTGATGGCCACACTGTTGTCTTGAGTAGTGGCACCTGATACCCTCCATGTAGTGGCCACACAGCCCAGCCCACCCCATCTCTGGGGCAAGTGCCTCTTGTGCAGGGCAGTCATCGGCCCCTCAGCAGGAGCTCCTCTGTGGCCAGGCGCATCAAGGCATGGAAGCTCAGGTGCAGGTACTTTCTCCAGAAGCGCCGATCTTGCCCGTATACCTGGGCTGGGTAGCAGGGACTTCCTATAGTGAAGCAGAGACACAGGCCTGAGGACTCAGCTGGCTCCAACCAGAGCTCCTGCCTGCATAAGGCAGTCCCCAGGTCCTCACCAATGCCATGGAAGATGCGGGCCACAGCCCTGCCTGAGAACTTCTCCTCTGGCCGCAAGGACAGGAGCTGGCGGATGTCACGCCGGATTTGGTCTTCCCAGTCCTGGAGCTGTAGGTGAATGTCACAGGACTTCCCCTGAGCTGCCACAGCACTGCATCCCACAGCCAAGACCGAAGCAGCCCAGGCTGAGTGTCTGGTCAGTTGCTTGTGGGCACATCACTACCCTCGGCCTCAAGAATCACCCCCAGAGGGGCTACACTCACCGGGTCCTGCCCGGGCTCTGGGCCCTGATCTTCTTCCATGCTCCCATCCTCATCTTCCTTTTCCTCAAAGTAGCAGCTAAGGAGGGCCTTCAGGTGGGCACTGCGCTCTCTATCAGGCTGCGCCAGGCAGGGCCCACAGCTAGGGAAGGCCACACTGGGGACGGGATGAACCTGTCAGAGCTGCCCCATGGGGTCAGAGTGGGCACCCCAAGCTCTGCCTACCTCCTTCCCCACCTGTGAAAGGCCTCAAAGGTTCGACGCAGACGGGCCAAGGCGTTACGCTCACGGGCCTGTACACGGCTGTATAGAAAATCGCAGATCTGGTCCCTCTCCTCAGCTGTCAGGTTGCCGGGGCTGTGCAGGTGGAAGGCCAGCTCCGTGAACTCCACAAGCCCCTGTGGCCCGTGGTGCACCTGTCAGGAAATGTGTCAGACAGGCGGGTGGGTGGCAAACAGCCAAGGGTGGGGTGGGGGGGGCACACCTGTCCCTGGGTCTTGGTCCCACTGTAGCTGGCGGAGAGCCCGCCGCACAGACGCCAGCTCCCAGCCCATGGAGTCCACCAGCTCAACCACGTCAAACTCCAGGGAGCTGCTGCCCTGACTTGTGTCTTCAGGAGGCCACCTGGTCCAGCATGCAGCCAGAGGGGGACACCTGTGGCAGGGTAGGAAGAGAGATGTGGCCAACAGCCCTAACCCTTTGTTCTTATTCCCAATCTGGGACGGGTACACTCACTTATGGGCCAGGGTTTGTAGTTGGGTGCGGCCCCCAGGGCAGCGCAGACGACATCGTGCGTAAGTGGCTGGCAGCAGCTCCAGCCAGCGCCGTGGGTGCAGCTCCAGGTAACACAGCAGAGTCTCGATGGCTGGCGGGGGCAGAGTATGGCTCAGGGAGTGTGGGGACAGCCCTTCCACACACCCCACATCCTCCCTAGCCACTCACCCTCTTCCGGCATGTCCAGGGCCTGCACTGTTGGCTGCACTGGGAGTGCCCGCTCATGGCCTGGGCAAACTGGTACTGGCATGGGGTTTGGTTGTTGGCCACTGTGTTGCTTGGCCTCTTGAGAGGCGGACTCAGCCATGGACTTCACCCCGCTGATGCCTCCCTCCTGCCCTGGGGGCAGCTGAGTGCAGGTGCAGGATGGGAACACACTTTGCACCAGCTTCTTCACAGCCAGGAAGTCAGTGCCATTGGCATGCACATGCCTGCGCAGCTCCTGCAGGTCCTCACCCTGCAGCAGGACAAGATGTACATGGAGCTGCAATTCCTGGGGCTGGAATGGTGCAGGGGATAAGAGGGCAGAGATAGGGCAGCATCTGGGGCTGGAGTGGCACAGGGGGATGGGCTGCTAACCTGGGGATGCAGAAACAGGTGGCAATGGGCAGGCTGCCCATCGCGACCGGCACGGCCCACGGCCTGCACGTAGCTCTCAAAGCTTGGGGGCAGCCCCAGGTGTAGCACAGCCCGCACATCTGGCCGGTCCAGCCCCATCCCAAAGGCCACCGTGGCCACCACAACCCGCAGCTGGCCTTGCATGAAGGCTTTCTGCACTCGCCGTCGCTCCCGGCTGCACATGCCAGCGTGGTAGGCTTCAGCCACAGCCTCAGGGGAAAGACCTTTGGGGAAGGTGGACACATGGTTGGTAGGACCAGGGCAGGCACACTGGGGTGTATCTCCAAGATCCCCAACCCTTCCTGTGCCTCACACCTCCAGGCGCATACAGGCAGATCCTGAGTAGTGCAGCAACCCGCTCTGTGTCCTCACGTCGATTGCAGTAAATAATGACAGAATTCAGGGTACGAAAACGGTCACCCTGCAGCAGTGTCACAAGAGCCTAGCAAGAAGCAAAGGTTGGCAGAGCAGTCAGAAGGTGGGCCTCTGTCCCAGTGAAACGGGAGTCTTGTGAATCTGGGGTCTGTTGTGCTAGTTGGGTCACAGCTCTTTTTAGTTCAGTGGTAGAGTTCCTAATTTACAACTAGTTCTTCTGACTGTGAAGAATGCATTCACGGACAAGGGAGGGCGAGCACACAGGCAAGAAGTTTATTAAGCAAAGGGACAAAGCTTCCATGGGAGAGGGAGGGGCCCCAAACAGGTTGCCAGAGACCCTGCTTCATCTAGGGATACTTACTCAGTTGAAGAGGGCATTGTCCAGCTAAGCACGTTGATCAGGAATGAGAAAAGCGCATTTTTTAGCTATGAATAGTCAGTGAGGATAGGGCTGTCTTGACCCCAATCCTCAGGGGCTGGGTCCTGAGCTCAGAAGATAGTTCTCAACAAAGTCTGTCCCACACTGTCCTTCTTTTCCCCTTATCTGATGAATTGCACCTTATCACTAGAGTGTATGAGTAACACATTACTAACTTTCTTTTTTATTTGTGTGCCTCCTAGGCTCTCAGGAAAAGTTTGTTCTCTTTTCTGGCCAGGGTCAGATATAGATCTTTGCTTTTTGTGGGATACTAACCTAAAGAAAAACAGCATGTGCTCCTGAATTCTCTTACATGGATCCCTTTCTGTAAATGGGCTTCAGGAGGACCCCTGCCCTAACAGCCTAAAGTTAATGCTACCTCCTATACTCACCAGCTCCTAGTGTGTGTATGCCTACCTGTTCTGGGTCTCGGTCCATAGACACAGAGAGGTGCAGGTTAGCAGGGATAGTGGCTAGCCCACTGAAATCAAGCTCTTCAGCTACACCCAGGTGCTGGGCCACGTCACGGGCAGTGTTGCGTGTGGCTGTGGCTGTGAGACCCAGGAAGCAGTGCACACCCATGCGCTCCCGAAGTATCTGCACCAGAAGGGGTGGTGGTGAGTGATACAGCCCACCTGGATCCTGGTCCACCCCCCTTCCTAAGCTTCCCTGCCCCAGCTCACCTTGCAGATGCGCAGGTAGCAGGGCCGGAAGTTGTGTGACCACTGAGAGAGGCAGTGGGCCTCATCAATGCAGGCGAAGGCCACTGGGGGCAGCTGGGCAGCCTGGGAGAGGCTGTCAGGGCCCCTGGCCCAAGCCCCAACCAGTGCCTCAGGGGATAGCATCAGCACATGCACCTTGGCTGCCTGAACCTGAAAGAAAACAGGATCAGGATCAGGGCATTGCCCAGGTGGCTTCCCACTGCCCCCTGTCCATGTGGTCCTCCTGACCTTCTGCAGGACAGACTCCTGCTGCTTCCTGGTCATGCCTGAGTGGAGGCAGGCTGCCTTTAGACATGGGGGCAGGTTGGACACCTGGAGATGCAATATTGTCACACACCAGTCATAGCCGTGGTCCTCCCCAGGCTCTCCACTGAGGAATGGTGAGACTCAGGACTGTGGTGACCAACACCTGTGTCCCCAGAGACTTTGGCTGAGGTGTCTCCCAGAATTCCTCCAGGAGGAGAAGCACTAAACCATGGGTCCTGGGATGAAGGGTTCAGAGCAACTCATGGGCCTGGGTGTTCTGTGGCTAGGGGCCCAGATGGTGGGCATTGGGAACTAGGAACATTCAAAGGTAAAAGTTGTGAAAGGCAACACCAGCCTTCTGCAGGTGTTGAGGGCCCCACCTACACACCTGGTCGTCCATGAGTGACAGAAGGGGAGACACTACCAGTGTGAGGCAGGGGCTGCGCTGGGCATACAGCAGTGCAGGAAGCTGGTAGCACAAGGACTTGCCAGAGCCTGTGGGCAGCACCAGCAGCGTGGAGATGCCTGGATAGAATGAGAGGCAGTTGCAAGACTCAGTGGACCACCACATCCCAGCCCAGCCCCAGGAAGCTACACTCACCAGACAGGATCCGCATAACTACTTGCTCCTGCCCAGGGCGGAAGGCTTGGTGCCCTAGCTGCTGCAGGGCCTGGAATACTTCAGCCGGTGTCTCTGTGGTCACAGGTATTGGTCACCATGGCCCATGTCTCCCCACTTTTCAGTAGAGGGCTGGGACCAGAAGGTTTCTGCTCACCTGCCACCTGCCCCAAGGGCCCTGGTGGGTAGAGGGGCAGCACTGGGTGGGGAAGGCGGGGTGCCTCCAGCTCAGGTTCTAGGGCCACACCTGCTGGGGTAGACAAGAGGGTGACGTGGGAGCTCCAGGCTGGGCCAAAACCATCCTGGCACAATGGCCACTGACAACTACCCTCCTCTCCCCACTTACTAGGGAGGTGGCAGTTAATAGTGCCTGTCCTCTGGGCTGCTTTTTCCAAGGTGGAAAAGGGTTGTGCATCATCCTCATCCTTGCCATCCTCCTTCTGGAGGGCTAGGTTGTGGCCTAGATCAGGAGTTAGATGTTGGTAGAGCCCTTTGTTTGGGTAAAATGCTCCCACAAGAGCACACTACCCTTTCTGTAGTGGTAGGTGACTCATTCCCAAGGACAGAGGCCTCACCTAGCTGGGGGCAATGGGATGCCCAGTGGCCAAACTGCCCACACCGGAAACAAGAATCCTCGACTGTGGCTCTGGATCTACCACCCCCAAACTGCTCCCCCTTCTTGTGCCACTTCTGCTTCTGTGCCTGGTTGGGGGGGCGCACAAGGGAGAAATCATTCAAGAGAGAGAAAGGGGGAAGGGGAGGAGAAGATCCACCCTGCCTATCTCACCTGCTTTCGGAGGAGCCTGCCTCGAAGGGCCCCACCCCGAACGTAGCGTTTGTGCTTCATGTTGAGACGAACGTAGTTACCCCTATCCAAGACAGCTGGCCTAGGGGAGATACGTAGCTGGGCCATACCCTCAGCCTTCTCTGCCCTGGCTTCACTTGAGGAATTGCTGCAGGACTGAAGTGGCTTCACCTGTACAGGTTCCCCTGGAGGGTCTTGCTGAAGTCCTGTAGCTCCAGCCCCCTCAGATAGGGATCTTAATTGGCTGCTATCCCACTGGGCTTGTGCAGGGCTACCTCCATTCTCCTTACTCCCCTCCCACTTCTTGGCTTGACTGCTCTTGGGCTGGGGGTTCCCTGAACCAATTTGGGCTTCCTGTGGGGCTGGAACCTCTGGGCCCTGTGAAGATGCCTCAGTGTGAGTGCCAGGGTCAAGAATGGCTGACTCGATTGAGGTCAAAGGTTGTGATTCCTCTGCACCCAGGTGAGGCCAGCAGGCAATGGGGGCTTCCAGAAAATCTGAGGCTCCATTGTGACACCGCTGCAGCCAGCCAGGGTCTAGAGAGCCCAGCCGTAGGCTCAGAGATGCCTGGAGCTGTTGGAGCCGGCCTGGCTTTGGCTGGAGCTTAGAAGGCTGAGGAGACAAATCATCACTGACTTCATCTGGACAAGTGGGGGCAGTCTTTGGGTCTGATGGCTTTGGGATGGTCATCTTGGACAACAGTCTTTGTGGAGGCTGGAGTCTTCGGCTCAGAGCTGGCCCAGCCTGGAAGGGTGAGGATACAACAGGAAGCAGGAACTCAGGCTTCTGGGGTTGCTTAAACAGAGGCTAGAACAGATAAGAAGCTAAGAGCAGGGGACCCCTGAGCACTTCTCAGGAGTCAGGCCCTAGGCCTGGGGGAAGTGTGGACAGGAAAGAGCACCTGGTGAAACTGTCCCAGGGCAGCTCTTGGCCCAGTTTGGATGCACTGACTGCCCACCTCACCCCTCACCTGTAGGGTGTCCTTTAGATTGGCCTTGAGCCTCTTCCCATAGTCCTGCACAGATCCCCATAAGGTCCGCCCTGGAGTAGGTTGTCGACTCTGGGCTACAGCACGATTTAGGTGGTGTCCCCAGCAGCTGGGCTCCTGTGTCTGCAGGAGACAGTAGCAGCCCAGACCAGAGAAAGACTGGCGTGGGCGCAAGGGGGCCTCCAGCGCACTCCCTCTCGCCCCCAGCAGTTGGGCCTGGCCCTTCCCTCCTTCCAATTCCATGCTCCACGAAGCTTGGCTGCAATTGCATTTGGCTCCTGCCACTCGCCCACAGAGAAGGCTGACGGGGAGGCTGGGCGGACAGACTAGGTACCTCCTCGGCCGACGCAGGGAGTGTCCACTCCGGGCTGCGAGGTGCGCCGCCGGCCCGGCGCACGGCCTGTTTCCGGACGCGGTACTCCCGATAGAGCGCTGGGCGGGCGGGAGCCAGGTCACGGAGGGGTCCGCTGCGCCCAGCTGTCGCGCCCAGTCCCATCCCGCCCGCCCCCGAGCACTCTTTTCCTCCCCGTCGCCCCGCCCCGGGCCGCGCGCTCACCGCGGATCTCATCAGGTGCTGCCTTCACGTCTTCCTGTGAAAAGGGGAGCGTCAGCCGAAAGCCTCACCCTCGGCTCCCGCTCCCCGAATCTGGACAACCCCCACCTGGCCAGGCCGTCGCCCATGCTGCCGTGTAAACGCGCGCTCCCACGCCTGCAGCTGAGCCCGCACCTCCCGCAGCCTCTCCATCGCCACCAGATCCCGCGCCCGGCGAATATCCCGCCGCGAGGGCGAAGTCCAGCCGTCAGCCAATGGGGACGCACGGCGGGGCGGGGCAAAGCGTCTGGACCTGGGAGCCAATCCGCTGGGCTCTGGAGGGTTGACCAATGGGAGACGTCTACGTAATCTCCGCGCGCCCCGGTGCTGGGCGGGGCCGTCGAGGCGGGGCCGTCGAGGCGGGGCCGAAGGCAGTGGTGGCGGCTGCTGGACCAGTGAGTGTGGACAGCCGGGCTGGGCATGGAAGCGGCGCCGTGCGCCCCGGGCTCTGTCTAGCCTTAAGGGGCTGGGCGCCGGACTCTCGGACGGCTGGAGCCAAGGCGGCCGGACGCTGGCGCTTGGGAGCGTCGGGTGTGGAGCACGGGCTGTGCAGTTTAGGGCGGGATTGGGTCCGGATGCCCCCAGCAGGGAAAGAGCGATCTAGGGGCCGGCGGAGACGCGCCTGGCCTGTAGTAGCAGGCCCACCGGGTGGGTTGGGGCCCGTAGGAGTAGGGCGTGGGCGTTTGCGAGAGTCGCAGCGCCCAGACCTAGGCGTCTCTGCTGGCGACTGGGCCGGGTGGGGGCAGCCAGGCCGGAGGCTTTGTTTCCTCTCATGACAGGTGATCGGTCAGTCTGTTCTGTCAACGAGGTATGCATCGTCCTCGTGAGATTTGCGTCCAGGCAGAGCCAGATCGAGGGTGGGCGTCCGGGATGTCCCAGGAGTCGGCGACTTAAGGACTTGTCCAAGGTGCGAGGAGAGGTCAGGAAGTACAGGGACCCTGCAGCCAGACTGCTCCCCGCCCCTCTCCTGGGCTGTGACCTTGGGCAAGGCCGAGTCCTTAGTTTTCCAATCTGCTGGAGTGGGAAGGCTACAATGTAGTTTTGAGAGTGAGGTGTCTGGCACACAGGAAGTTTGTTATAAAGCCAGCAGTAGGGCTGATTCTGTGTCTCAGGTATTCCTGGGCCTTAGGGACCTTTTGCATGCAAAAGCAGCTTGGATCTCTGTCTCATGTGAGCAGGGCCCTGGCCTGAGCCCTTCTGAATGAATCGCATGGATTTAATAAGACTTTGTCTCTGTCCACACTGGTTTCCCAGGGAAGAGGGAGATGCTTAGATAGGTGGTTTTTCTCAGGGATTTCTGTGCCTGGTGACACCCCAGGAAATAGTTATCTATGGAGGTTGTATTCAAAGCTTGATCTTATAGGCCCATAGACTAGGGGTTATGGGAGTCGTGGTCCTTTTCTTACTGGCCTCGATGCTTATTAAGTTGTGTCTGTGCTTGGTGCAATCCAAAGACAACTCTGGAGCACATCTGTGAGGAAGGTGAGGGAAGGAACCACCAGGCCTCCTTGGGAGTTCTCTGCCTGTTCTAGTGCTGATGAAGGACCATGGAGAGAGGAACCTGAGCTTTATTCTACTTTTGAGGAAGAATTCCCGAGTCAGACTTGAACTATTAGTGAGGGTCCCTGCAGAGCGATAACCATTTGTTAGAAGCAGACACAAACAAGCAGGTTATTGGTAGTGCCATGCCCTTTATGTACTGCTTGGTGCTTTCTCTAAGGAGCCCCTTGCTTCTGGGGTGTGACCTTATCCCCTGTCCACTCTTTCAAGCTCAGTGCTAGGCACCTGACATGCCCCCAGCCCAGAAGTGCTCCTTTATGCCACTTCTCTACTAACTGCCAACTCCATGTCGGGCATTATTAGACTTTCCCACCACCGATAACGAGGAGGGAAATTATAGGCTGGTGGTGGCCTAGTATTTCTTCCCAACTGAAGGCCCCCTCTCCTGCAGGTGGCCACCTGCTTGGCCCAGCGCCATGCACACACTTGTGTTCCTGAGCACTCGGCAGGTACTCCAGTGCCAGCCAGCTGCCTGCCAGGCCCTGCCCCTGCTGCCCCGAGAGCTCTTCCCCCTGCTGTTCAAGGTGGCTTTCATGGATAAGAAGACAGTTGTACTGCGTGAGCTTGTGCACACATGGCCCTTTCCACTGCTCAGCTTCCAGCAGCTGCTGCAGGAGTGTACCCATTGCAGCCGGGCCCTGCTGCAGGAGCGGCCCAGCACTGAGAGCATGCAAGCTGTGATCCTAGGACTGACTGCTCGGCTCCACACCCCAGAAGCTGAGGCTGGAATACAGCCCCTCTGCAGGTATGAACTTACCTGAGGGGCTTGCAGGCCTAAGGGTACAAAGAGGGTTCCCTGAGAAGGTTCTAGGCTGGGGTCCTGAGGAGGTTAGTGAGTGCTCAGTATGGGAGCAGGAATATTGCTCATGTTCAAGGTGGCCGGGAGGGGTGTGGGCCCTGCTTCCCCGTTCCTTGCCTCAGGCTATTCCTGCTCCCAGGAAGCACACATTGCGGGTTCTGGACATGACTGGTCTTCTGGATGATGGTGTGGAGCAGGGTCCTGGTACCATGAGCATGTGGGACTGCACGGCAGCCGTGGCCCGCACATGCATCGCCCAGCATCAGGGTGGGTCTGCTGAGCCGGGGCTGACCCCCGTCCCTGTGGAGGTTCGTGTGGACCTTCGGGTGAACCGGGCCTCCTATGCATTCCTGCGTGAGGCACTCCGAAGCAGTGTGGACAGCCCTCTGCGGCTTTGCTGCCGGGACCTCCGAGCTGAGGACCTGCCCATGCGCAACACTGTGGCCCTGCTGCAGCTTCTAGACGCAGGCTGCCTGCGCCGTGTGGACCTGCGTTTCAATAATCTGGGTTTGCGTGGCTTGTCTGTCATCATCCCACATGTGGCCCGCTTCCAGCACCTGGCTAGCCTGCGGCTGCACTACGTACATGGGGACTCAAGGCAGCCCTCTGTGGATGGTGAGGACAACTTCCGCTATTTCCTGGCCCAGATGGGTCGTTTCACCTGTCTACGGGAGCTCAGCATGGGCTCTTCTCTCCTTTCTGGCAGGCTGGACCAGTTGCTCAGGTGAGTGGGCCCCACCACTGTTTTGTCCCTCCCCTTTATGGGACCCTCTCCTGGGCCTGCCTGTCTGTGACCCCTGTGTCTCTGCAGCACCCTGCAGAGCCCCCTGGAGAGCCTGGAGCTGGCCTTCTGTGCTCTGCTGCCTGAGGACCTACGCTTCTTGGCACGGAGCTCCCATGCTGCCCACCTCAAGAAGCTGGATCTGAGTGGTAATGATCTGTCAGGCAGCCAGCTGTCACCCTTCCAATGTTTGTTGCAGGCGGCAGCAGCCACACTGCTGCATCTTGAGCTGACTGAGTGCCAGCTTGCTGATGCCCAGCTGCTGGCCACTCTGCCCACATTGACGCGTTGTGCCAGTCTTCGCTACCTTGGTCTCTATGGCAACCCACTATCTATGGCAGGCCTCAAGGAGCTGCTTCGGGACTCAGTGGTTCAGGCTGAGCTGCGCACTGTGGTGCACCCCTTCCCTGTGGATTGCTATGAGGGCCTGCCTTGGCCACCACCTGCATCTGTCCTGCTGGAGGCCTCCATCAATGAGGAAAAGTTTGCACGTGTAGAAGTTGAGTTGCACCAACTGCTGTTGGCCTCGGGCCGTGCCCATGTACTCTGGACCACAGACATCTATGGCGCCTGGCTGCGGACTATTTCAGTCTGTGATCTCCAGGTTCTGGGTGAGAGACAGGCAGAGAGCCTTTGCTAAGACTCTTGTAGAAGCCTGACACAAAGGCCCTGGTCTCAGTGCCTTGCTCCTGGGTGCACCTTGAGCCTCCCCTGCTTCCTGCAGTGCCCTGCATCTGCTTCTTAACTGGCTGTGGGCTTGGGATTTCAGGCCTGGATTCCCCTGCTCTGTATGACTCCACTTGTCTGCTCTCCAGGATACCGATCCTTTGTGCAGATGCTCTTGGAATCCTAACTGTGAGCAGAGAGGAGCGGGTCTCTAGGCACTTTCCATTCCCTTACCAAGAACATAGTGCTCTGGGGGTGCTCTGGGGTCAAAGTTGGGAAGGGATCTGCTTCAGGGAAACTTGGAACCCTATATTTTTCCGTGCCCTGGCATCCAAGCCATCCTGTTAGTTGGCTCTAGAGCTTTAACTATCATCAAGGTACAAACACCCAATGTATCTGAAACTGGAATTTGTGGCTTTTTTTTTTTTTTTCCCCTCCTAGGTGACCAGGAGTGACTTGGTCCTATCCATGGGGCAACAAGTGTCATCCATCCTGTTGCCCCACCCCCCCGCCGGGCAACCCCATTAGCATTGCTGGCACGAGGGGTCTCTGAAGGGCTGGCAGCTAGGGTCATCGGGGCATGTTGGGGCCTCCCTAGCCATGGTCCTTCAGAGCCCCAGACTCCCAGGGGGGAACCCCACACAAGGCTCAGCGCTTAAGCGCAGCTTCCACCTTTACTGACCAGCTTGCACGCGGTCGCGCCGGCCAATCCCCGGCGCCCACGTCATTGGAGCGACTTCAGCAATGGATCTCGTAGGCTACGCGAGGTGGAAGGCGGAGCCCAGGCCTTGCCCCTTCGGCCGGGCTGCGGTCCGCGGGAGCCTCCGCCGGAACGTCGGCGAACAGGGGCTTGGAGCGGTCGATGACGAACATCTCGTGGCCGCGCTCGTCGCGGAGCTCCTCCAGCTGCGCGAAGGTGCAGGGCCCGTCGGAGTAGTCGTTGACAAACAGCGCGCCTTCCCCTGGGGGCGCGCGCGCCTTTTTCCGCCGCCGTCGCCGGCGGCAGATCATAGCGGCCAAAAGCAGTGCTGTGAGCGCCAGCAGCGCGATGGCCGCCGCTATGGCCGTCTGCGTGGCCAGGCCCAAGGCGCGGAAGGCCATACTGCCCGCCTCGGGCTGAGGCTCGCGTCCGGCGGGGCGCGCGGCAGGGGCTGGCGGGGCCGGCGGCTGCTGCGACTGCTGGCGGGACGCGTTGACCAGGAGTCGGAAGGGCACGCGCGCAGCGCCGCCGGCGTTGGCGGCCTCGCACTCATACTTGCCTGCGTGCGCCAGCGTAATGTTGGTGAGGAAGAGCATGCCGCTGCCCGTATCCCGAGCCGCGGGCCCTCCCAGGCCAGCTGCGCCGCCTTTTAGCTGGGCTTGGGCCTGTGGCCGAACCTCACGAGGCTGGGACACTTTCCTCCAGGTCACTAGGGGCTGCGGGTAGCCCGAGGCCTGGCAGGCCACCCGCAGGTCTTCGCCCAGATTGGCTGTCAGCTCCAGAGGCTCCACATGCACGGAGGGTGGAATGCAGATGAGGCTACTGCCAGATACATCCAGGAGGCTCCGCAGCGCCAGGCGTGGGGGCTCTGCACACGTGATCTTCTTGTCCCTGGCACTGAGCAGCCGCTGGCCCCCCTCCTTGATCCAAGCGCCCAGCCAGTGAAGGGCACAATCACAGCGCCATGGGTTCTCTGTTGATAAGAGCAGAACACAACCTGTGCAGTGGGGGTTCTGCTGGCCAGAGCAGAAGCTTTCTCACTTCCCACAGCTGCCTGCCACAAACCCAGGAATGCTGGCACCTCTTCTCTGTCTACAGGCTCTTTTGGGGTGGGGACAGACCCTTCACATACACCCCTTTTTTAGAGGTTCCTGAGGAGCACCTGCTCTAATGAAGTCTATCCCCTAAACAAGTCCCACTGTTGAGTCTACACAGATATTCCAGCAACAGTGAAACCTTGTCTTCATATCCCTCTCCTGGAAATACCCTATGTTGGTCAACTGTCTCTTTCCAGTTTTTGCCTGCCTGTCTGCCCTTTGATGTGCAAGAGGCTCAGTTCTGTTAAATCACTCTGAGGAACTCCTACCTCTTTAGGCAGATGCCTGAGTTGTGCCCCAGCCAACACTCCCATTCCTGGCAGTCCTCTACCAAGACTGAAGGTCTGTGGTGTGGCCCTTTGAAGTTCTGCAAAGGCCTGCCACAGGAGCTCCCTCTATACTTGGGCTTGTTCCCTACTGCCACCACTATGGACCGGGCAGATATCCTTGCCCAAGGAGGAATTACCCAAATTACCCGTAAGGCGCAGGACTTGCAGGCTGGCCAGGGGCTGCAGAGTCTCTTGGCTGATGGTGCCCAAGTGGTTCCTGCTGAGGTCCAGTAAGGCCAGAGAGGAGAGCCCAGCCAGAGCCTGGTCCTCCAGTAGTTCAATGCTGTTTTCTTGCAGATGCAGCTCCTGCAGTCGCTGAAGTAGGGAAGCAGATCATCAGGAAAAAGGACCCTGGGAAGCTAGACAAGGCTGATTCTTCTCCTAACTACTCCAGCCCACGGGGTAATTGGCAGCATAGGAGGCCCGCGTTTTTTAGCCTTTGACGCTCACCGGAAGGTGCAGGAAGGTGAAATCCAGCAGCCGTGCCAGCTGGTTGCCGGCCAGGTAGAGTACGCGCAGCTGGACCAAGCCCATAAATGCGCCTCCGCGCAAGCCGCGCAACCGGTTGCCGGTGAGCGCGAGCTCCAGCAGGCGCGGCTGCGCGCGGAAGGCTCCGGACTCCAGAGCACGCAGGCTGTTGTTGTGCAGGTAGAGATGGCGCAGGGCAGCGAGCGGCGCTAGGGCGCTAGGCTCTAGGCGCGCGATACTGTTGTCCTGCAGAAACAGCGTCTGCGGGCCGGGAAAGGGGATGATTACCTCGCTGTAGAGGACACCTGCTCCCGTGGGGCGCCCAATCTACCCTCCTGGACGCTCACACACGCGTCCATCCCGCGGCCCGGCGGCCCCACATGGTGCCCACCTGCGTCCCTGGGGGGATCCCCGGCGGGACGACGCGCAGCCTCAGGGCGCCGCACTCCACCGTGGCGCTGTAGCAGCGGCACGCAGCAGGACAGCCGGTGACTCGAGGCGGAAGCCCTGGAAGTGGTGGCGGCAGCAACAGCAGCAGATCCAGCAACAACAGCAGCGCGAGAGCCCCAGGGGCCATTTCCGGAGAGAACAACCTAGGGCCACAAAGCTACTGTCTCCGCACCTGGCCGAGATGGGACGCGCCTCCTGAAACAGGCTGGTAGGCCAGTGCTAACATTCTAGAGCCAGCGATTGAGCACAAATGGCCTACGGCCCGTGCCTAACTTTCGAAAAAGTGAAATCCGTTCAAGAAACTAGTTTTCTGTTCATAAGGACCTGGAACATGAGAGTTCAAATAGAGAACGCCTGGAGTCCTGTCTCATCACAGGATGTCGCCATGTGGAGTCACCCAAGCCCCAGATTGCTTCCCATGCCAGTCCTGAGGGCCTCTTGCTCATGCATGGGCACAGCTGGCTGGAGCTCCTTCTGCCCCCTAGTGACCTTGAACTCCTTGGCGCTGAGGCTCACAGGGCTTAGGGACGAAGTCTGGGTTTACTCAAGCACAGATCAGATGGGGAAGACGTGTTCTCTTCTATTCGCCCTACAGGGACTGGCATGAACCTAGGGCTCAGCCCAGAGCAGAGGTCCCTTTTGTGCCCTAGGACAAGACCTGGGACCCCCAAGTGACCATAACCCAGTCCTTTTGGTCCTAGCACTCATGCTCTGCTGTATGGTTCACCTGTCATAATCTGAGGCGGGATGTGGGGAGAGATGATTTTGTAGGAGCCACAGGCCCCAGGGAAGTCAAGGCACAGCTTGGTCTAATCCATCTCCTGCCATCGTGGGGGTGGGGGGTGGGTGGACAGCTTACCTAGAGTTGGGATTTTTCTCAAGTAACTATGAGAGAATTGGGGGATAATGCAAATAGTAGGAAAGTCAGTTCAGGACCATGGACCTGTGTTCTGCAGGCTGGCTCCCAGAAAGGGGCTTCTTTCTGTCTTTGGGGGGGGATGGGGCTGGGTCCTGGGAAAATTGGTGTCAGACTGGGGGGTTAGGCCAAGTATATGTTGCTTCTGGTGCTGGGGATTGATCCTAGGGACTCATGCACACTAAGAAAAGGCTAAGGGTTCTCCCTCCCCCATTACCAACTAGGTTCCTAGTGGAGCTTCCTAAGTGGACTCTGGGAGCAGTGACCTCTGAGACTATGAAGGACGGTGTAGGTTGCAGGAATTTACTGCATGCTTCTGTGACCCTAGGGATCAGAAGGCTGAGGTCCAGTCCAGGCACAATGAGCCCAGTTTTAAAGGTAGGACTGGTGTTGAGAAGCCAGCTCATCTGGACTCAGGAAGACTGGGCCAAGTGTGTACTTGTTCCCCAGTCTTCAGCCTTAGGTGGCATGGTCGCCTCTCTGAATGCCACCTTATTCATCAATCTCTCTGCTCTCTGAGTCAAGTTGAAAGGTACCAAGTAGCTTGGTGTTTGTTTCAATCTGGTCCTTAACTGTAACTCACGTGATTATTGAAGTCACTAGAGATGTGATAGCACAGCAGTAAAGTTTTAATGGAATAGCTTTGGCCCAGGCAGGAGCAGTTCCCAGATGCCTCAGGCCGTGTGTGAGCCCGAGAATCTGGGGGTATTCTCTGGGCCCCTGGGATTAATTTTCTAGAGCAGGGCCCACCCGCCCAGCCTCCAGCAGCAAAGCCTTGTTCTCCTCCTCAGGGTTTGCTTGGTGCTGCTGCTCACGCGGACCCCTGGGTGCGCGTAAGTGTAGAAAGGCTGCCGGGACAGTGGTGAAGGCCCCAGGACAGAAGAGCCCAAAAATCCTTTTACAACCGGAAAACCCCCTAATCCGGCTGGGCAAGAGCGAGGCGTCGGTCTCCTGGGCGCCCATCTGTGCAGAAGAGGGGTGGAGGGGAGCCCTGTGTCCTTTCCTGGGTGCAGCGCGAGGCCCCAAGCTGGGTCTCCGGGTGGCCCTTGCGACTTGGCGCATCCATACCTCACAACCTTCCCTGCTTGCCCCCTGCAGCACCGGTGGATTCCCGCTGGGTTCACCGAGGGCGTGGTCTCCGCGCCCTCCCCCCCCCGCCAGTCGCACGCCCTTCTCGGTGTGTGCTGGGATCCGAGCCGGGACGGCCCCCGATCCCGCCCCCAGGCCCGGTGACCTTGGGCCGGGCGCCCCCTCACCTGACGCTCCGGCGGCGAGCGGCTCCCCGCCGTGCCCGCGGCAGCCAGGCCCGAGCAGCGGCCGGGGGAGGGGGTGGGGCGCGCACGCGCACCGGAGCCCCGAGCAGTCTGCGCCCGCCGCCCGGGCCTGACGTCGCGAGCGCAGGCCAATCCGGATGACACCCTACGGCTGTGAGGGGCGACGGGCGGCAGAGAGGTGCCCGCTGCGGGGGCCCGGGACCGCAGGTCCGCGGCAGCACCTCGAACAGCGCCGCCTGGGCGGGCCCCGCAGCGCGCCTAGGAGCGCACGCGCACTCGGCGGGCAGGCGCGTCAGCTACGCGGTACCTCGAGCGCTGGAGCCGCGGAGAAGCAGAGGGGCACTGGGGTCGCCGGGGAGCCCAGGGGAGGTGACGCAGGGCCGCCGGGGAGGGGGGCGGGAACGCAGGGGACCCGGCCTTGCCGCGGCTCAGGACGGCGGGGCCGCGAGCAGCAGTGGGGCCAGATCCATGGTGAGGGCGAGGCGGTGGCCCTGCCAGCGCACGTGCGAGGGCAGCTCGGGGGCGCCGGGCCCGTACTCGAAGTAGGCGCTGAGCTCGAATGCCAGGGCCGAGCGTACCAGGCCCACACCGCCCGCGCGCTCCGGCGCCGGGTGGTACAGGCGCCCGTTGGCCGCCAGGGGCAGCAAGCGCGCCGGCTCGAAGGGCACTGCCAGGGCCTCGCCGCCGCCGCAGTAGGAGAGGCGCGGGGGTCCGTGGTCCGTGGCCAGCAGGTGCGTGAAGACCACGGGCCGGTCCTCACAGCGCAGGAAGTTGCGCTCTCTGCCACAAGGCGAGAAGAAGGGGAAGGAGGCCTCGTAGCGCCCGCTGCGATTGGGTCTCAGACGCGAGAAGAACGTGACCAGGAACTGCAGGTCTGGGGGGAGCAAAGAGGGCGCGGGGGCTCACCATGCTGGGCGCCCAAGACCCTGGACGCCTGCTCCACCAGGGGCTGCGGCCTCACTGAGACTGCAGTGTGGGCAGCGGAGTCAGTTGGGGGCCATCCCAAAGGCCAAGGAAGGGGTGCGGGAGTGCAGCACAGCAGTACCTTTGAAACAGGTGATGAAATTCTTCATTTTGGAATCATCCAGGAAAAGCTGCAGACAGAGGGACAGGCGATGGACGATGAGGTCCAGAGCGCAGGTGAGACAAGGAAGTCCTATGCTTGCTTCTCGGCGCACCGTGTGCCAGAAACCTGGGACCCTGCAGGCTTCCCTGCGCCAGCAGGTCTCCCCCCAACCTTTTTTTTTTTTTTTTGCGTGGTATTGAGGTTTGAACTCAGGGCCTCACGCTTGCAGGTGCTCTATCACTTGAGCCATCCCACCATCCCTTTTAAGTGTTGAGTAATTTTCGAGATAGGGTCTTGCGAACTATTTGCCTGGGCTGGCCTCCAACCGCGATCCTCCTGACCTCTGCCTCCTGAGTAGCCAAGATTACAGGCCTGAGTGCTCGCTTCGGCAACACATATACTAAAAACTGGAACGACAGACATTAGCATGGCCCCTGCGTTAAGGATGACACACAAATTCGTGAAGCATTCCATACTAAAAAAAAAAAAAGATTACAGGCTTCCAGCTTCCTTTCCTTTTTAATCGGCCTGCCACCTCCAGGTAGCCTAGCCCTGCCGGGACAGACTGGACGCTCTGGGTAGGGCTTCCAAAGCAGGCGGACTCGCAGTCTGAACTCAGCCCTGGGACTGGGGTGGGATCAAGGGCCTGAGTGAGAGGCTGGCCCTGGTCTTTCCAGCTCGCTGCCGGGGCTCGGCGGTCAGGTTCACGTACCTTAGAGGTCCGGAGCTCCCCACTTGCCGGGTCCCAGCTCCGTCACCCCGACCTGCTCCCCTCCCCCCGGGCCCGCCCCTCAGGGCTCCTGCCCCGCCCCCAGCCAACCTGGCCCTGGTGGTCCACGTAGTAGAAGTACTCGCGAGTCCGGGGCTCGGGGCTCTGGCCCTGCGTGTAGGACACACTTCCGTCCCCGCTGCAGGCTCGCGATGATACCCGTGGCCGTATCAAGGCCAGGGCACGAGGCGCCCCGCACGGTGGCCACATGCTAACGCCGGAAGCGGCCGGCAGGTCAGGCGGGTGCCGGCGCCGCGCGAACACGCGTCCCCGGGCGCCGCCGCCTGGCACTTTAGGTTCCGGCGACACAGCAGGCGTCCCCGGCCCTCCCCACCCCTGGGAAGCTGCCCCGCGGGAGCGGAGTCGGAAGGAACTGGAGGCGCTGGCAGCGCGAGTGTCCACATGAACTTTATTCACACGAAGCGCTGTCGCCTCGGTCCACGCGTCAGAGCAGGCGTCTCGCGGCCAGGCCGCCCGCGAGGCCCGGGCTCACCGACTCAGGACCCGTCCTAGGGCGCCTCGACAGGGCGGGGCTTTTGTTTTTAATAATAAATAAAAACAACTCTAAAAAATATATATATATAAAAACGAGAGAAACCAAGCTTGACAACCGTTGGGACTGATTCCAGAATGGGAAACGCAGACGAGCCCGGGCCCTGTCCGCGCGCCGCCAGGGCGTGTGGTTTGTCAGAGGCCGCGAAGCCGACTGCGGTGCCAACTCGCTCTGCGCTGAGGACGGGGAGGACTGCTCAGAGATAAGCAGCATCTGGTTAAAACGAGGTCCTTACAAACTTAGTGCTGACATCTGTCGCCCTATTTGTACCTCTATACACAGGAGGGCTGGATACGGAATACTCTGGACTCAGGAACGCCAAGAAAAAAATACTCTCGCCCCCTCCCCCCGCCCCAAGGATGCCTGCCCAGCCCTGCCCCACCCCAGAGGACTTTGGTTTGCTCCCCGCGCAGGAGAGCGCCAGGCCCGGACCGGCGGGGCCGCGCCCTGGTGGTGGTCAGCTCAGCGCCCTGGAGCCCCCAGCTCCCGCGCAGTTCCCGGCCGGAGTCCCTCGGGGCTGGGGCAGCGGAGGGGGGCTGGACGGGAGTCCCTTGGAAGAGGCCGGCGCTGGGGAGAGGCCCAGGCCGGACTGCCAAGGGCAGCGCCGCGTGTGCTTCGGCCGGCCGGGAGGGCAGTGTCGCTCGGCTCCGGGAAACAAGGCACTTCTCGGGGCTGGTCCGCGGCCGGCGGGCGAGCCGGGGCCCGCGGGCACTGGCCGCGAGGTGGGGCGCGGGGGCGGGGCGGGGCGGGCGTCGGGCGGGGCCTGGCATGCTGCCCCGCGCTAGGGCCTTCCCTCCCCCCTCCCGCGTGCGCCGCCCCAGCCCAAGTCCGTGGCCCGCGTGCTATAGCACGCCCTCCATGAAGCTGGTGTCCAGATGCTGGATGAGCACGCGCAGGAAGGACATCTCCTTGCGCGTGTTCTCGAAGATGACGCGCGGGTCATCCGACTGGCAGCGCAGGCAGTTGGGCGCCATCACCATGGCTAGGTTGCTGACATCCATCTTGGTGATGGCCACGTTGGCTGGCTGCACAAACACCTGCATGGGGGCGGGATGGAGCGGAGGGTGGGCATGACGCCGTGGCTGGGCGGGAGCAAAGCCCAGGGCGGGCGTGGCGTGGCGTGGGGCCGGGGAGGCCTACCTGGAGAAAGCGGATGAGGTAGCACAGCACCATGCGGTTGATGCGCGGCAGCGCGTGCACCACGGCCACGGCGGCCTCCGGGCTCTCGTAGTGCGCGATGCACTGCTCGTAGAACTCGTGCGGGATCAGAGGCTCTTCCAGTTCCCGGTACCACAGCTTCAGCAGCGACGCTGCGGACGGGCGCGGCTTAGATGGGCCTGCTCTGGGGACCCCTGGGCCAAACATCCCTGGGGGGCTGTAGCCAGGGCCGTCTGGAAAGGGGTCCCCCTGACCAAGGTGGGTTGGACTGGGCCCAGACCCCAGAAGCACTCGGGGACCCAAGCGCCTGGGTTCAGTTCTGGAGGCATGGGGGCAGTGGCTGCAAAATCAGAAGAGTTGTGCAGCTGTTGGAGCTGGCTGGGAATGGGCTGGGCTGCTCTGGATGTACTGGACAGGGGTGCCCAAAGGACAGAGGGAGACTGTTCAGTTTTCAGGAGGATGTCTGGAAATGGCTGGGAAGACATCGTATCACTAGGGGCCGTTGGCCAGGGGTGGGTCTCAGAGGTAGAGGAAAGAGTCATGAGGATGCAGCCAACTGCAGAACTGGACTGAGGGAGGAGGAGGCTGTGGGTGACCCCAGGAGGGGGCTTTGGCCTAAATGGCCATTACCCTCAGGGCTGCGCATGTGGGCCAGGCCTGCCTGCTGCTGAGTGGGATGGGGGCTCACCAGGGACGTGGGGATCCTCCAAGCCTGTAGGCACCTTCCATTGATCCACCTGAAGCTTCAGGGCATTCACCTCATCAATGTCCCCAGGGACCCTGGGGAGCACAGGGCAAGCAGATCTCAGATTAGAAGAGCTGAGTGTGCTCTGTAGCCAGAGATGGAGGTGGTATAGCACCTCAAGGGCCTACCACTGCAGCTACCAGCTCTGACACAGGCTGGGGTGACTCTAGGCCTTGTTGCCCTCTTCCCTGTCCTTTTGGGACCTGTGCATCCCTGGTCCTGACAGGTGAGTTTTGACACTGGTTGATACTACATAGGCAAGCCCAAAGGCAGGGGCTGTTGCATTCCTGTTCAACCAGGAAGATGATGAGTGGAGGGGTGCTGAGCTGTCTGGCTCATGTCATAGGTGCTGGCTATGTTGCTGTCCAAGCACCCTGTAGATCCCTCATGGCCATCCCTGGTAGGCTATGCTGCTGTTGTGGGGGATGACCCAGCAGCTTGCTTCCTAAGGAATGGGAATCTTGGCCACATGGCCTTTGGGACCAGCTTCAGTGGCCCATCCTTCTGTCAGCTTTGAGGCAGGAGCATGGAAGCAGGCCCTGTGTCTTAATGGTCCCTGCTGCCAATGAGATGCACAGTGGACACACTTCTGTGCCCCCCTCCCGCCACACCCAGGGCCTGGAGTTGGCATGGCACCTGAAGATGCCCTCTGTCTGGTCACCGTTGAGTGCCAGCACTTCCTCAGAGAGCCGCGTCTGTACCCAGGGCAGCTGCCGGTCAGGGTAGCGCTCCTTCTGCATGCTCATAACCTCCTGCAGTGCACTGCCGAACATGGATGGGCTGAACACGGCGTTCTTAGCATGCCGGATCTCTTCCACGTTGGGCTTCTTTAGCCCCTGTGAAGACAGCCCAACTCTCCTGTCCTAGGCTGCCCCAGCCTTCCTCCTTCCAGCAGGGCTGGCCAGCTCAACCACCCTCTCTTCCTTAGCTCCAGTCTTCAGCCCAGCAAGAGCCAGGGGCAGCTCAGATCCCTTGCCCAAGTCAGAAAGGGTGCCTCCCACTGGTCCATCTACAACACCCAAAACCTCAAGTAGCCCCACTGGCCATGCAGCAAAGTGGGAACCACTCCTGGCTAGAACAGCCTGGGCTTTCAGTGACCACAATGGGAGCCAGGTCAGCAGATCTGTGATGCTTCTGGAAGTCTGCTTGGCAGCACTGAGAGCCCTGGTGATGGGCTAGTGTGGCTGGGGAAACACATCAGAAGGAAGAGGAAATGGGAAAGGGAGGCTAGGTTCAGGGACAGGTGCAGGGTGACCCAAAGGAATTCCTGAGTGAGGGTGGCCTGTAGGGAGGAGAGCCCACCTACATGGTGTGACAGGCCTGGACATCCTATAGAGGAGAGAATACAGCTGGAAGAGGCTTGGTAGGGAGAGGCAAGGCTGGGGGTAAGGCTGAAGGAACAGGGCCTGGACTGGCTTGTCTAGTCTAGGGGATGGTATGCTCATATATGGGATCCAGTCTCCCAGGGATTTGCAATGGCAGGTGCTCTTCTGGGCCCACCTTGCAGGCTACACCCTGCAGGCAGGGTTAAGGGTCCAGTCCACAGGGTAGTCTCTAAGGCCTGCTATGGCTATGTCTGCCTGCTACATCTTGCCATACCAACTGGGGTTTTTAGGGGACCAATGTAACCACTATGCTGCTCCTGAGCTCTCCATGCCTTATAGCACAAAGGCAAGCCTACCTCATTTGGTTGGGCTGCATGATGTCCTGCTCAGACCATGCAGCCCTTTGTCTACATTGCTCCTCAATTTGGGGAAAGGCAGTCCATACAGAAGAGCATGGGTCTCCTGAGGCCTTCTGGCCAGCCACTGGGGTGGAATCTGTGCAGTACCCTCTGCTTTGCCAGCCAGTGCATCCCGAGCCTCACCGCCTCCCCACCAGACTTCCACTGGACTTGAGGGCTGCCTGCCCTGCCCTGGCTCTCCCAGAAGCCCTTGTACCTTCTTGGCCCCTGTCAGGGCTGCCTTCTGCAGCTTGTGGTAGCAGTACTTGGCGTAGGTGCTTATCGCCACCCCTGTAAAAAAATGGGCACTGGTCAACCTGGTGTGGATGGGCTAAGAGGAACAGCTCCTTCAGGAGGCTTGGAGTGTGGCCAGGCTCCCAACCACCCCTGACTAGGGCAGGAGCCTTTACTTTCTCCCAAGTAATGTCCTTTAAAGCAGAGGCCCAGGTGGAGAGGTTATGGAATAATTCCCCACCTCCAGGGGCCAAGCTGGGGGAGAAGCCCCTCTGCCATCCCACCCATCCTTTTCCAGGCTACCCAGGAACATGAACAGCAGGCTGGGGACAAAGCTGCTTCCCTGTTAGGAGTCATAGGCAGGACCTGAGCCCTAAACTGTCTAAACCCCACTTCTCCCAACCCTGGCTGACCCTAGGTAGCTTAGGTCCTGAGCAAGGGCCCCTGAATTAGGCAACCAGCTAATGGTGGAGGGAGAGGGGGCCAAGCTAACTGGGCAGCAGCCCCAGCTCTTCTGAAGCTCTGGCCTTCTCTCTGAAGGGAGGGGCTTCCTAGGATTTAGGCCTGCAACAAAGGTTCTAGCTGGTGGTCTTAGTGGATCAGTGGGCAGAAGAAAGACAAGGGCACAGTGTGAGGGGAAGGAGATGGCACCTCTTTCCTTTGGGCCTGAAGTGTGCCACCCGACTGGCCCCCGGAAGTAGCAGGGAGGGAAGCAGATAATATCCCAAGAGGTGTCATGGGCAGCCTGGACTGTATTTCTGAGCAGATGGTAACCTTTGTCTGGAAGGTGCTGCCCCTGTTGTCCCCATGCCTGCCACCTGCCAGGTGAAGGAGGCCTCTAGATGTATGAATACCTTTGCCTTTGAAAGAAAGCCATTTCTTGTGGAAATGTGAGGACTCAGGGGTCCTTGGACTCCAATTTGAAAAACACAAATGTCTTAGTCTATGAAAACATTTTCAATTCTAGTTATCATAAAATAATTTTATCACTGTATCTGTGAAAGGAGTTCTTTGTAATGAAAGTGAAAATAATAAAAAATTTCTCAGACATTCAAGTCCTGGACAATGTCTCAGTTCCAGGAAACCTGTAAATCATGGCAGATCTTGGTTCTAGCTTCAGCCAGCTTGGGATAGTGCTGGAACCTCCTATTACAGGCCATTTTGCCCTTCTGGGAGGCTCTGAGACACCCCTGTTTTGGGAGAATGGACAGTGCTTAAGCAGAGAGGCCTCACCCTGGCTGGTCAGGACTCAGAGAAGCCCAGGGTATCCTTCTCTGGCCCCAGCTGAGCCCAGACCCAGCTCAGGTGAGATCTGAGGGGCTGAGCCTGCTACCTCCTTTGGGAAGTCAGGCCCTGACCTTCTGTCCAGGGCTGCCTTGCCAGGTAAACATGCATGCCTTCATCCTATGCCTGCACAGGATCAGGACAGACCCTCATGTGGCCACCACTTGTCAGCTGGTGATGGTATGAGAAACCCCTCTCGGTTTCTTTATCTGTTGGATGGGAACAAGAACACTTGTCTCATGGGTACCTGTAAAAGGACTGAGCTGGGAGCCTGGTACCCAGTGAGTGTTCCAACAGACAGCTCCTGGCGCCACAGCTGTTGGAGGTGGACCAGGGACTGAGGCCATGTGCACCCTGCGGTTTAGGAAGTGAGTGACTGCTCTCTTCTGAGTGTCCAGGGTGGAAAAGGAATGGCCAGTGCTCAGGGCTAGCCCAGGGAGATGTGCACCTGGGTGAAATGCTCTGCTTTGGACCCCCAATCTGACCTTGCTGGATCCATCTGCCCAGCCTGGACTGCAGGCAAACCTGGTTTAACAGGTGGGATGAAAGGTGCCCACAGAGGGTCAAAGAAGCTCTCTGGGGTCCATGCTGCTGTGCCACAGACCCAGATCATATGCCTCAAAGGCTGCCGAGTGTGGCCAGGGCCTTTTCCCTGCCCTCTTGTTGTAGCAACAAGACTCACAGATTATGCTGAGCAACTAGTTCAGAGCTCCTTCCCCACAAGTACTCTGGGGACACCCACAGGGCCTAGATTGCAGCTGCCTGGCACAGGCCTGTTGGGACAGCCTGGGAAGATCCAGTTGAGGACAAGTTCCCAACCCTGCCACACTGGCCTTGCCCATGAGGGGCCCTCATGCCCCTGAAGTCTCCTGCTGGCTCAAGAATTCTTTCTAAACAAGCCTTATCTGTAGAAAGACCTTGTCCTTGTCCTGGGTCCCCATGGACAGCACAGAACAGGACTTCCTAGGAGGCAGGGGTTCAAGATGAATAAGCATGAGCTACTGCTTGGTGGAAGCAACTCTGTGCAGGAAGGCCAGAGCTGCCAGCAGGGGTGTGTGTGTCTGTGTAGGAAGTGTGTGTGTGTGTGTGTGTGTGTGTGTGTGTGTGTGTGTCTGTGTAGGAAGTGTGTGTGTGTGTGTGTGTGTGTGTGTGTGTGTGTGTGTGTGTAGGAAGGTCAGAGCCACCAGCAGGGGTGTGTGTGTATAGTTCTGGAGGCCCTGGGGAAACTGACCTGGCACATCACTGGAACCCACACATACCTCTAGACAGGGAAGATACAGCCTACCCTGGAGTTTCAACTGGATGGGGTCGTCCTGAGTCAGGACCCAGCAGAAGGGATGGTTACTGAAGGAGGGTGGGAAGACTTTGGGTAGCTATGCTAGGGGCCAACCATGGAAGAGGGCAGATTTCCTAATGACTTCTGAATGCCAGGACATTCAGGCCTAGGCTGGGGAGACACTTGCCACAGGGTACCCCAGCCCTTTGACTGTGAGTCTCACCCCCTGCAGACCCATTCACTCACCTGGGGGCATCTCCAGGCCTTTGAGGGCTAGACCTTGTGTCCCCTGCCCACCAAGAACCCACCAAGCAAGTTAGAAATTGCTCTGGGCATCACCAAGACAGGTGCAAGGCAGGAGCTTGTCTCCAGGGTCCTGTCAGCCCCAGGGACCTCCAACACTTGCTTGGGAAACCCCAGGCCTGAGGTTAGTGCCCCTCCCCCAGCCCAGAAGCGGTTAGAAAAGAGAAGGCCAGGCGGCCGTGGCTGGAGAACAGAGCGGTGCAGAAGCAGCGCCCAGGCTGCAGGAGGCCCTACCATCCGGCTCTTCAACATAAGGCTTGGGTTTCTTTCTCAGTTTGGACTTCTTCTTACTGTTCCTTTCCAGAAGCTCTTTTATGTGCTGTGTCACTGGGGAGCAAACAGAACCATGAGGACCACAGGACACAAGCCAGGAACCATTGCCCATGTGGTTCTCGCACTTAGTAGTGAGGAGGCCCCTGGGCCTGTTGAGGGTTGTCTCCATCCAGCTGGGGACTGGGTGCATTTGGGGGCAGATGGTTGCATGCACACACAGGACTGTAGGAGGTGCTGGGACCCTTTTTGCATTCTGTAGTCAGAGGGCTGGCTCTCCCCATGTTGGAGGTGGGCAAGAAAGTACAGGGACCACCAGGCAGCAATGAGGTGGGTGCAGCCCACTCACACCCCTCTGGCTCACGGTAAGTCTGGGGTCAACCTGCCTGTCCACCAACCTGAAACAGAGGGGTGAAGGCAGCCTGCGAGAGGAGTGGCTTGGGCTGCCCAGGCTAATCCTGCTGATAGTTTGGCTTACTGCCAAACCTTGGTCACCTGTGAAGTTATGCTTTCTCCCCCTTTCCTCTCTATGTACTGTCTGGAAGGAAGTCACTGGAAAGGGGTAGGTTAGGGTTGATATTTATACTTTGGGTTATAATCCAGTGTGACTTGTTACATTGTCCCAGCTTTGCCAATGGGGTGCATTTTCTTTGAGTTTTAGTTGGCTCCTGTGTCCCTTGACAGCCCCATCACCTTCCCTTCCACACTTCATTTTTTAATTTTTTTGTGGTGCTAGGGATTGAACCCAGGACACTTGCATATCAGGCAAGTGCTCTACCAATGAATAACATCCCCAGCCTTTGGTTTAATTGAGACAGGGTCTCAATGTGTAGCCCAGGCTGCCTCAAACTTGTGATCCTCCTGCCTCTGCCTTCTGAATGCTGGAATTTCAGGCACAAACCACTGGTGCTCAGCTGGGAGATAGCCCAACTTATTAGCATTTTTCCTTTAGAGATAGTGCACTTGACATTGCATAAAAATCTTTGCCTAACTCAGGAAAAGATTTTCTTGAGTTAATTTTTGCATATAATGCAACATACAGGTTGAAATTCTTTTTTTTTTTTTTTCTGCATTGGGAAACTTAGTTGTCTTAGCACTATTCGAGGAAGACTACCTTTTCCTAAGGGCTTTTGTTTTGGCTATTCTGGGTTCTTTGCTATGTGTTTCCTATGTGTTTTACAATAAGCCTTCACCTTTACTCAGGGCCTTTACCTTGAGCCACTCCACCAGCTCAATTTTTTGTGATAGGGTTTTTTGAGATAGGGTATCATGAACTATTTGGCTAGGCTGGCTTCAAACTGTGATCCTCCTGATTTCTGCCTTCTGAGTAGCTAGATTACAGGTATGGGCCACCAGCACCTGGCAGCCTGTTACTTTCTATTAAAAAAAAAAAAGAAGATGCTGATAGGATTGAATTTGCAGGCCAATTTGGATAGAAATAACATCTTAATATTGAATCTCTGATCCATAAACATGGTTTGCCTATTTATTTAGGTCTTTACTTTTAATAATGTTTTATAGATTTCAATGTACAGGTCTTATGTATCTTTCATCAGATTTATTTCTAAGTAGATAATATTTTGAATGCTATAGTGAATGGTATTTAAAAAATATCAATTTCCAATAGTTTGTTGCTAGTACATAGAAATATGATTCATTTTAATATATTGGTCCTGTATCCTGCAGTGAAGTTACTAGTTAGGTACAGTTCATGGTGGATCATGCTGACTAAAAATAAGACAACTATACATTTCCTTTCTGATCTGTGTAATTTATTTCTTTTTATGACTTAATACACTAGCTGTGACCTCCAATGTGAGGCCGAGTAGGTGTGGTGTGGTTGGAGATCCTTATTCTGATTCCCTTGTTAGGGGAAGAATATTTACTTCAGTCTTTCACCATTAAGTATGATCTCTATTTTTTTTTTTAGGTGGTCCTGGAGTTTGAACTCAGGGCTTTGTGCTTGCCAGGTGGGTACTCTACCACTTGAGCTACATGGGTCTTGGTTACATAGCCCAGGCCTTGAACTCAAGATCCTCCTGCCTCAGCCTCGTGAAGGATATCCATTTCTTATTGAGTGATTTTGGGTAGCTTGTGTCTTCCAAGGAATTTGTTCATTTCAAGTTTATTGCCATAAAGCTTATGGTATTTCCTTATTATCTTTTTGACATGTATAGAATGTGTAGTGATTTAATCTTTTTTTTTTTTTTTGTGTGGCACTGGAGTTTGAACTTGGCCTCACGCTAGGCAGGCAAGAGCTCTTACCACTTGAGCCTACTCTGCCTGTCCTTTTTTGTGTTAGATTTTTTCTGAGAACTATCTCCCCTGACTGGCTTCAAATCACAATCCTCCTGATCTCTGTCTCCTGAGTAGCTACGGTTGCAGGCATGAGCCACTGGCACCTGGCTCTTCTTTCATATTCAATACTAGTAATTTATATCTTCCCTTTTGGTTCTGATCAGTCTGGCTGGAGTTTTATTAATTTTATCAGTCTTCTGAATCAGCTTTTTGTGTCACTGAGTCTCTCTACTGTTTTTCTGTATCCCCTCTCATTGATTTCTACTCTGATCTTTATTATTTCTTCCTTCCTTCTTCCTCCCACCTCCTCTGGGATTGATTCTGCTTTAGTTAGAGAGTCTGCTTTCTATGATTCATTGTTTTTAGCATTTACTGACACTTAATTTATAGCTCCTAATATGGTCTATCTTAATGTAGCTGGGATTTGAGTTCCAATGGTCTGCACTCAGGATCTATTCTCTCACTCATTGCACTATAGCTGCTTTGTGTTTTTCCTTTTTTTTCCCCTGTGTGTGGTGCTAGGATTTGAACTCAGGGCCTTGCACTTGTTAAGCAGGTGCTCTGCCATTTGAACCATATACCCAGCCCGTCTTTGTTTCTTAAACGGATTTTCAACCAATCCTTTTTTCACCTTCAGAATGACAGAAGATACCTGTTATACTGGTTGCTGAGCTTCTGGGAACTTGTTACCCGTTTCAGCATTTCAGTTTTCCCACCAATCTGTCTAGGATCTACTTTTCTCCGTCTGCCAGTTCAAGTGCAACACTTATTCATGTACTTTCCAGCTTCCAAATCACTTGTTTTCATGGCTTCACTTTCTTTTTCTTTGTGGGTTGTAAATTGCAGTACAATGTATGTAACATAAAATTTACCATCTTAACCTTTTTTTTGGAGTGGTACAGCATTTGAACTCAGGGAGTTTGACCCAGGGCCTTGGGTTTGCAGGTAGCATACTTGAGTCATGGCCCTGTCCCTCCACCCCTTTTTTATGCTTTTGTTTTAAGACAGTCTTGAGATTTTGCCCAGGGCCCAGCCTCTGATGGCAATCCTCCTACCTATGCCTCTTGCATAGCTAGAATGACAGGGGCATGTCACTACCTGGCTTATTTGTTGAGAACAGGTCTCACTAACTTTTTCCCTGGTTGGCCTTGAACAGTGATCCTCCCAAAGTCTGCATAGATGGGATTACAGATGTACAGCACCGCATGTGGTCTTACTGTTTTGTTTTTTTGAGACAGTGTCACTTAGTAGCCCAGGTTGGCCTCAAACTTGCAGTCATCCTGCCTCAGCCTCCCAAGTGCTGGAGTTATAGGTATGGGCCACCACATACCTGGTTCAACCTGCCTGCCATCTTTAACCAGAAGCTGGGAAGTTTTGCTGAAAGCATGAAATAGTTTTCCAAGAGGCTCATGTGGAAGTGTTCCTTTGTGCAACTTGTACTCAGTGCCAGGCACCCCTCAATGTCCAGGCTAGCCTACATGTGGGGGTCCTGGGGACACTTGGGAGACACCTCTTGGTACCTGGCATGAAGGGACTACCATCCAAGACACAAAGTTAAGCTGGGTCACCTCATGGTGACCATACAGTGGATTTCACATAGATGCTGCTGGATGAATCAATCAATCAAAGGCTCTCAAGGCTCCCTCATGGCCTTACATGGGGGCAGGCAGCACATGGTGATGTGCCAAGCACAGGAGCCAAGCTCAGCTCTGCCCCTCGGCACATGTCCCGGACAGGTGCCTGGCCCACTGCAGTTTCCTTTTTCTATGTGCTTTGCAGTAGTCTAGTTGATCTTCCAGAGCACAAGCTGCATCTTCCTGGGCTGGCGAGGCCCATCTTCCTGACCAGTGGCCAGTACCCATGTTCTCCACCAATGTTGCTTGCATGTGAAAGGTGACTTTCCCAGGGACAGCGAGGTGGGTGGAGGGAGCATAAGGCCTGTCAAAGAAGGGACAGCCACCTTGTGTGTGCAGATCTCTCCTTGGGCTCCGGGCCAATTAGAGCCTTAGACAGGTAAGCCAAGGACGGAATCCTGGGCTGAAGATGGGGTTCTGGCTGTGAGGGCAGCCCAGGTGCCACAACCTGGATGCTGGTGGAACCACACAGAACCCCAGCCCCCACTGTGTCCCATATGTTGCTCTGAGATCTCATGGGCCTTAGGTGGGGGCCTTGAAGCTACAGCCCCTAGACCGAACCCACTTCCCTCCTCTGTGCAAGCCAAGACTTCATGGGTGTGAGGACAGAGCTCTACAGGAAGGGCAGTGTCCTGGGAAGCCCTGGCTGGTGGGAATGGTTCAGCCATAAAGTTGCTGGTCAGCTGGCCCAGGCTGGGCTAGAGAAACTCAGGCCTCTGACTGTCTCCACCTACTCATTTGCTCACTAACTCTTTCACTCAGAGCACTCCCAGGTCCCTGCTGTGCGGTGCTGCTGTGTTACAGCCTCTAGCTCAAGAACATTTAAAGATTCCTTTGGAAGAACTGAGGAGGTGACCTTTGAAACTCACAGCAATGCAACCCCCAATACTCCCCTTGCTCCTAGAAAGGCCTGCGAGGACCTAGGGCCTGGGGGCCTACTGTAGACTCCAGGCCCAGCCCCAGGCTGCTTGGCACCTGGCTTTGGTCCTCAGTGCAGGTGTGGGAGCCAAGGCCATGCACCAGCTTCTGCATCTGCTGGGACCTGTGTTGAAAAGTGCTTGCCTGAGGCAGAATCACATGACTTTGGAAACTTCTGCCACAAGAGGCTGAGGTGATGCATAGTGCCTGTGCTGACATACCTTCCCCAGAACCCATCCTTGCCCTGCAGCCTCCACCTGACTTTGTGTACAAAGTCTGGCTCTGGAGAAATGTGAGAACTGCTTCTCCCATACCTGTAGGGGCAACACAGGAAGCCTTAGTAGGAGCTCAATTTGTGCAGAGGCAAGGTCCGAAACAGCCCAGACTGGACTCTTTCCGGAAAAGCAGTGCACAGTATGTCTGACTTGGCAGGCAAACTTGTGTGTATGTGAGTGTACGTGTGTGTGTGCGCACATCTGAACATCTGTTCATGTCCAGATGTCGGTTACACGCTGTGCCCCATTGGTGTGCATGACTGTTGAGGTGGAGCATGGTCTGCTGCATACAGCTGCCTGTAGCCATGCTCTGTGCCCACTCTGCCCAGCCCATGGCTCAGGTGGATGGAGAGCTGACAGGACCATGACTTGGGCCCAGACATACCTGGCATGTCACCTCTGGGGGGCAAGTGGCTACCTGTGTTGACCCCACCTTCTGATTCTTCAGGGCTACTCAGCTCATGGTCCCCAGAGCTCCTACTTGCATGTGATGAGCCTGTGGGTAAGGGCTTGTCGGATGCACGGCTGAGCTTCATGCTCCCTCTACTCAGGCCTTCGGTCAGAATCTCAACTAGAAAAGAGGCCTGAGCCTCCCCTGAAACTCCTGAATTCAACCACACCTGCTCGTCATAGAGGGCAACCAGCCATGGGGGCTTAGCGCAGAGGGACGCTGGTTGGTTGAGACACAAGGTCATGTTTCCTTGTCTGCCAGGCCTGCCTAGGCTCTTCTCAGCCCAGGGGAAGTTCCCTAAAGACACCCCCCCACATCCTGATGGAAATCAGGGTGTGAGGTCTTTCAAGGGACGTGTGCATCTTCTTGGAGGCTGCCCTGCTGTGTGGGGCTACCTGAGGGGTTACTGGAAAGCTCGCAGGTCTTGCCCAGCACTGCCAGGAGCCCTCTTCATGGCCCTTACCTCTCGGCAGCAGAGCCAGAGTGCCACTGGCCCCACATGCTGGGCCTTACCTTTGGTGTCATTGACGGGGTCCATGTGCCGGTAGATATAGCCCTCCAGGTAGGAGTGGAACTTGGGTGTGGGGGGGAAGAAGGCCAGGCAGATGGCCATGAGCTCCCAGCCTCGAGCCAGGCTTTCAAGGCGGAAGTTCTCAGTGGTCTGCCGGCACAGCTGGATATACAGCTCGTCCCGCAGGCCCTGTGCACTCCAGCCCTTGGTGGCAATCTCCAGGGCCACATGCAGTGGGTCTGCCTTGGCCCGCCGGTCACCCATGTACATCTGGATCAGTTTGAAGATCTCGCAGGCCTCCTTCTTCACATGCCGGTCACTGGTCACAATCATGGGCTTCTTGATGGACTCACTGCTCCAGGCCAGCATGTTGGCAATGGACACTTTCCGCCGGAAGAGACCCTGGGTGTGCTTGTTGAAGTGTTTGGAGGCCCAGTTCTCGATGTCCGTCTCTGAGGAGGGCTTGCGCAGTGTGAAGGTGGGAAAGACGCAGCTAGAGCTGGGCACTGCATTGCGGTTCTGCCGGCTGCTCTCAAACTGGGCACAGGCACCAAGGTCCTCAGACTAGGAAGGACAAATGGGAATGGGCCATCGGGGTGGGCGTGGGCTGTGCAGCCAGACCCACCAGGACTATGACCCTCAGAGGTGTGAGCCAGCTAGATAAGGCATGGTCCACCCAGCGGACACAGCCAAGAGGCAGAGCCTGGACTTCTGGGACTAGTTAACCAAGGGAGAGCCTTGCTGTCAGGAGGAGGGGGCACTAACTCACCCAGTAGTTGCTAAGGAAGAGCTGGCACCCCAATACCCTCAGCCCTGTGGGCTCCCTATTCTATGTTGCTTTGTGACATGCTTGTGTGTCTGAGCCCCTGCTCCTGCTAAGGGTGGCTTTCTGTCTGCCCATTTGGTGATCCCCAAGGCTGCCTCTTAAGTCTGTTCTGTTCTTCCCCATTTATGAGCACTGGACAAAATTACTCACTGGAAGTGGCTAAACACATAAGCCCACACAGAGGACCCAGGATACTGGCTGCCCAGTAGTCACCAAGGCTTTACCAAGTAGGGTAGAGGAGGACCTGCCATGCCATCTCTAGGAGGTTTCTGGGTTGTCCTTCCACCAGCCTTGGGCCCTGAGGACACTGGACATACCAGGCAGACACAGGTCCCCTCTGTCTTGGCTTCCTGGGCTACAGCAAACCAGCATGGATGTCCCGGCCAGGAAATGAGATCAAGGACATCAGGTCTAGGATCCTGGGACCTGGTGGTCTCCGGAGGGAAGCCCTATGGGCATGGATGCTCAGATACTGAACTGCTGGACAGATCTGTGGGATCCACAAGGGATGACTGACAAGTGTGCTCTTGGTACCACATGGGGAGGACATGCCAGGCTGGGCCTTGGCTTTGGCTCTAGTTATGACTGCGACATCTGGGAACCACCTAGATTGCCTCACTTGATGACAACTCTGAGAGCTACCACAGAATAACTGATGCTGCACCCATCTAGCTTGTTAGGGTTCCCTGCTCACAGCACTGGTGTGCCCCCAGCTGTTGTGGCTTGTCAGGGCAGAGCCTCTAGTTCCCAGACAGCCTAAGGCTGAGGAAGTCTGAGTCAGGAAGCCTCAGGGCCCCATGAGTGGTGCAGCATTAGTGGGCATCCTGCACCTGCAGCTGTGCCCTCACTGCTAGCTGGTATGTGGGGCCTGGAGGACCTGGGCTTTAAAATCTGTAAGTGCACCCCAGTCAAGCCAACAAAACAAAACAACCCAAACCTCTCTAAAGTCTCTAAGTGCTACAGTTATGTCGTGGATGCCAGGCAACCAGGCCCACTATGGCCTGTGTTAACCCCAGGTGGGTCCAGGGACCCCATCTGCCCCATCATATGCCCCTCACCTGTGAGGGATGGAGGTAAGGCTCCGGTGAGGCCAGGTTGGTCTGCACGGACACGCTCTTCTCCAGCAGGATCTGGGGGAAGCCAAGCTTCTCAAAGGTGCTCCGCTTCCAGTGCTTGCTGTCCTGCTGAGCCAGTGCCTCATCCTCGCTGAAGGCCCGCACCACAGGCCCAGGCATGGGCAGAGGCACAGCGCCATCACTCTCATATCCAGAGCCATCCTGCTGGGAGTCCCAGCTGCCCCTTTGCTTTGTGTGGAAGTGGGCCTGCTGTGCCTCCCAGGCCAGCCGTGCCTGCGCCAGGAAGGGCTCAGCTGTGCCTCGTGCCACGTCCACCTCGGCCTCTGCACGCCTCATCTGAGCAAGGCTGGGCCCACATGGGGAGCGTTCCTCAGCCAGGGGCTGCTCACCTAGCAGGTCCCCAGGGCCATCAGTGGAGGAGGCGCTGGGGACTTGGCACAGAGAGGGTTTTCTGCTCTTCCTCTTCCGTGTGCCTGGGGAGTAGCCTGTGGAGGACATCGTGTCCTGTTGGCTAGACCAGGACATGGTATCCTCTTGGGCCTGGGGCAGTGGTGTGGACGGCTGGCCAGACCGGGGGTCAGGCCCCTCCATGGTGCTGTAATCTCCAGACCTGATCCCCAGGCGCTGGTCCCTCAGCAAGCAGGGGCTGGGCTGCAGGGAGTAGGAGCCACCACCAGGGTTGGGCGCATACTTGTGTCTGGGCCCCGCACGTAGCTTAGGGCTAGAGCCGGCCTGCTCCACGTACACCAGCTGCCGCACATACTCCTTGCCTGCGGGGCTATACTCCAGGCTCAGGAAGCGTTCAGCACACTTCTGCTTGGTGCGCACCAGCTGCTGGCAAGGGGAGGTGGGGGTCTGCTTGGCCGCTGGCAAGAATGGGCGGGGCTTACGGCCTGGTGACCTCTGTGGCGAGCTGGCCTGGTAGGGGCTGCCAGGCTCAAACTGCACATCCATGGGAGGCTCGTCATAAATGGGGGCCTGATACTCTACTGGGGGCTCCTCGTAGAGCGGGGGCTCATAGCCATAGCGTGGGGAGGAGGGCTGTGAGTCGCTGGAGGGCTTTCGGGGCTGCGTAAGCAAGGGTGAGCAGCTCCCAGAGAGCTCGGCCCTCCTCAGGAAGGGTGAGGGCCGCCTCTCAGGAAAGAAGATGGTGCCATCTGAGTCAGGGGCAAAGGTTTGCAGGTTGGGCGAGTGCTGGCTGCCAGAGGGTCTGCGGGGGCGGCTCCCAGGCTGGCCATCCAGGGAGTAGCCATTGCCCTGAGGGGTGAGGAAGCTGGGCTCTCGGTCTGCGACTTTGATGAGCATGCGTTCCTTGGTGCCCGAATTCCATCGAAGTGAGGAGGTCCTATGCAGGGAGTGGACAGGCAGTTACTGGTGGAGGTAAACCCAGCCTCCCCACTCCTGTGCCCTTCTTAGGGCTCCTTCACCCTGGCACCACGCACACAGTGGCTTCCACATCTGAAGACAGGAGGCTCTTCATGGGACATTCTCCACAGAGCACACAATCCACTAGGGCCCCGCCTCCTGGCACCAGAGCTGCTCATAGTTCTGAGGGTAACTGCCAGTGGCCTAGCATGTCTCCACACTAGCACTTAGGCCCACTGCTCAACCAGATACTCCCGTGAGTCCTCCCAGCCCGTTCCCCTGCTGCTCACTGATACCCACTAACACCCCAATCAGGCCAAGGGCTCCACAGCCCCGTGGGAGTCACACTCTCTGAATCCTGGCCCATTGCCCAGTAGGATCACACTGGACTTTTGGCCTCTTCTGAGCCTCCCTTACTCACTGACAACTGGGCCACACTGCTGGGGCCATGCAGACATGACACTCACATATATCCTGTTCCACAGGCCCAAGGTTGGCACAGGCCCTGCATTCCACGGCTTTGCCCACTGCACCAGGTGACCAAACCTAGGACGCTAGTCAGGGAGAGATGATAGGGGCTCACCCTGCTCTGCTATTCTCCCCAGGCTACCTAGGTATGACTCTCTAGCTGGATTCCCAGTGCCTCTTGAATACGTATGTGGTTGGATATCTCCTACCGTTTTTTAAAACTCCTAGTTATTATCTTCTCTTTTGGGAATTCAATTACAATTTTCATAGTGCACCGCAGTTTTCATGTGATATTCCGCATCTCCCATTCTATCCTGTCCACGCTTCAGAGTTGGTATTCTGTTTTGATCTGCCTTCCATATACTAATTCTCCACTCAACTATGTTTAATCGATCAATCTATCCATCCATCTATCACCTATCTACCTATCTATCTATACACACACACACATTTTGGTTTTTTAACATTTTTTAAGACTGGGTCTTGCCTAATTGCACAAACTGACCTTGAACTTGAAATCCACTTGAGGATTGTTTAATCCCAATACTTAGATGAATTTTTTTTTTTTTCTGGTATGGGGTTTGACCTCAGGATCTACACCTCGAGCCACTCCACCAGCCCTTTTCTTGTGTTGGGTTTTTTTCAAGATAAGGTCAACTGGCTTAAAACCACAGTCATCCTGATCTCTGTCTCCTGAGTAGCTGGGATTACAGGTGTGAGCTAAGAGATAGTAGCAAGAGTAGAGCTCCTAGAGCTTGGAGGGGTCCCAGGAAAGGGTGGTCAAAAACTGCAACTCTTTGTTTTGTTTTTTGGTGGTACTGGGGTTTGAATCAGGGCCTTGCACTTGATATGCAGGAACTCAACCACTTCAACCACACCTGCCATCCCTGGCCTGGATTAATCTTAATCTAATTTAAAAACCATTAAAACCACTGTGATTTTTTTTTTTTTTTTTTGGAACTGGAGTTTGAACTCAGGGCTTAATGCTTGCAAAGCAGGTGCTCTACTGCTTAAGCCATACTTCCAGTCCATTTTGCCTTGGTTATTTTGGAGATGGGTTCTTGCAAACTATTTGTCCAGGCTGGTCTTGAACCTTGATACTCCAGATCTCAGCCTCTCAAGTAGCCAGGATTACAGGTGTGTCCAATGTTTTTTTTTTTTCTTTTGGAGTTTGGACTTAGGGCCTTGTGCTTGGTAGGTAGGTGCTCTTCTACTGGAGCCGCACCCCCAGACTACTTTTGTAACTATTTTATTAACCTATATTAATTGTACAAAGAGGTTTTATTGTGATATTTCCAAATATGCATATAATGTACTTTGATTGAGTTCATCTCCTATTACTCTCTTTTATTCTTCTTGTCCCCCAAAGCTATTGTTTTGGTCCATTCAGGCTGCTATAACAAAATACTGTGTGGTTTAAAAACAACAGAAGTTTATTTCTCTTAGCTCTGGAGGCTAGAAGTCCAAGATCAAGGCACCAACAGATTCAGTGTGTGGAAAGGGCACCTCTGTTTATAAGAACAGGTACTGCATTCACCACTCCCATAAACACTTTAATCCACCTACATGATCTCATCACCTCACAAAGCCCCCCAGCACCATCCTTTTGGAGGTGAGGATTTCAACATGGGGGACACACATTCAGACCTTAGTGTTGTCTACTGAGTTCTTGATTTTGTTCTTACATTGAGTATTTGATTTGAAAAAAAAATCTTATAAAAGCTTTTATTTTAGTGATCAAAAGAATGCAGTAAATGGAATCATCAGGCAGGTACCTCTTACTTGAAACTTTTTTTTTTGTGTATGGGGGCTTCAACTCAGGGCCTTGTGCTTACCAGGCAGGTGCTCTACCACTTGAGCCATACCCCCAGTCCTTTTTTTTCCTTTCACTGCTTTATTTTTTTAAATAGGATCTCACATTTATGTCCAGGCTAGCCTGGATAGCAATCTTCCTATTTACGTCCTGTGTAGCTGGGATGACAGGTGTGCATCACCATGCTCAACTTATTGGTTGAGATGTATGGGGGGGTGGGTCTTGTGAACTATTTGTCCAGGTGGTCCCAAGCCAAGAGCCTCCCAATCTCCATCTTTCAACAGCTAGGATTACAGGTGTGAGCCACTGTGTTCGGCTGCATCTTGGGAGTTTTTGAATTTTCATTTAAAAGCAATCTAATAATGAGAATTATGTTCCTTGGGGAACTAAGGCCATCTAGTTCTCAGGTTGCCTGTTCTGTGTTAAGACTACACTTTTTTTTTTTGTAGTAGTGGGGTGTGAACTCCAGTTTTTTCACACTGTTCATATTTGAGGTAGAGTCTCACTTTATGTCCATGCTGTACCTCAATCCTGCTATTTGTTCCCCTCTGTAGCTGGGATGCAGATGCACACCACCACCCCCAGCCACTGGTTGAGATGGGGGTCTCATGAGCTCTGCCTGGGCTTCCCTTGAACCTCAATCCTCCTGATCTCTGTCTCCCAACACTACTTTGTACTGTATGAATACTTCATAGATTTTTCTTCCTAATACTAATAGTCAAACACTAGATAAGGAGCCAAATTACTCTTCTCCCACTGACACAAAGATCTTTCTAAAAACCTGCAGTGAATTCACACAAATAAAGATTTGCCTATGTGGTCCCACTATCAAATTATAAAAAGCAGTTCTATCAAATTACAGAAAACAGTTAAGGGGACCTTGAGAAAAACACAGCCTCACACAATAAGAGGTATTTAACAGTTTTCCATTCATCTGTCAATTATCTTCACAGGATTAGCATTAAAAACACACCCAAGGCCACATATTACCCTCAACGACCTGCCCTCCCAAGTGGTCTTTGTTTATTCTCAAATGACAAGATGTCCCAACTGTGACAAAAGGTGGGTGCCAATCCCCACACAGCAGTTTCTTCAGCCACCACAGGTGCTCCACCACTTGAACCCAGTCTTCATTTCTTGAACTACCTTCCTTTTCCAAACAGGTGAGGCTGAGAGGTCAGTTAGGAAGGCTTTCTGAGAGGACTGGCTTGTATTTCTGAGTCTGTTCCAGTCATTTCAAGAAGAACTGGCATAAGCCTAGTATGGTGGCTCACACCTGTAATCTCAACACTTGGGAGGCTGAGGCAGGAGGATCTCAAGTTCCAAGGCCAGCCTGGGCTCCATAGCAAGCATTGTCAATTAACTTGTGTCAATGAAGTGCTTAGAGCAGCTCACAAAACAGGCCTCAGCCAGACTGTCCAGTTTGGGCCCAGGCTTGTCCACATACTTTTCCCAACAAAGTTCTGTCCTCTGGCACACCAATAGCTGGAAGCGCTGCTTCTGATCTACCTTGGTGACATGTTGCACATGTGGGTCCACTGCACCCAACCTGCTGCAAAGACAAGGAGGAATCCATCCCAGTGAGACCACAAGAGCCCAGATGAATGCTACACCAACTCACCGACCTTCATGTGTCTCTATTTGATTCTAATTGCTATTTAACATCTTAACATCTTCACATAAGGAAAAGTAAAGCCATTTTCTGGCAACTCTAAAAGGTAGATCTATGGATCTGCTTTTGAAACAATTCTGGTATTTCAGACAGAATTTCTGGCGTATAAAGAACTGTCGAGTTGGGGATTGTTTGTTTTTTTTGAGATAGGGTCTAAGGTATGGAGCCTCAGCTGTCCTTGAACTCCAACTCCTCCTACCTCAGCCTCCAGAGCTGGGGTCACAGGCATGGCCCACCAGTCTACAGAGGTGACCTAAAGTCTGGGTTTACTTTTGTTTCTGGCAGGTGGTTAGGAGGCAGGCCACCAGAGGACTGCTCTGGCTGAGGGCCTGAGTTGACTGAGGCCAGGCTTATGTGGGACTGGTGGCTCCTGGCACCTCTCCTCCTGGTGTGGCCCTGAGGAGTCACCTGAGTTCTACTTGGCCTCAGCCTGGCACTGCCTAGCTCGGGCAGGGCTGGGCACATGTGAGCTGTAGGCTGGTCTCCAGATCATGCTGCTTAGTACATCTTTGATAACTTCAGAGTGGGTCTGTTTTTTGTTCAGCTTCTCCAGCTGTCCTTGGGTGAAGGTGGGTCTGAGTGATGTAGTCCACTACAGGAAAGTAAAGTCAGTGCACTTCTGCAAGTTGGCTGTGCGTCTGATCTCCTGGGCCCTCTTGGACAAGGTCATGACTCCCCATTACCTGAGGGCAGTTGAGGTAGGGCTGGGTATACTCCAGAGTGCCAGGCCTGGGCTCACTCACACAGTCATGGTCCAGCCCGCCAGCTGTCCTCCTGTGGCCAAGTGAGACCTCAGGATAGGACTGGCTCCCATTCTGGGAGTTTCTGCTTTTTGTTGCCAGACGTAGGAGCGAGTCAGGATTGCTAAAGGCATGATAAAAGCCTGCTGGTGGACAACATGCTCTGTTCCTGGCACGAGAAGTACTCCCATCCAGTTAGGACAGATGGGAGAAAGGGAGCCAGCCATGTTGTGTGTGTCCTGGGCCAAGCATCTCCATGGAGTTGCATTCAATTCTCAAAGCAGGCCCAAGGCCCATGAAGATTGCCAGGTCACAGGCTCCTTGCTACAGTTTAGGGAGGCCTACCTTGGACATATAGAACCTATGAAATCTGAGGGGTATCACACACCTGCCCTCCTTCCCAGGCCTCACTCACCATCCCTGGTCTACCTTCTGCAGTCCCACTCTCTGAGCCCAACCCAGTCAGGCTCCCCAAACCCTGCATTCCTCCAACCCTCATCTGTGATTCTTGTCTGTCTCCTGAGCTTGCACCTACCTCTCTGGGTCCACTGAGCAGCACCAATGGGGCTGCTGCTGCCCTCCACCCTTTCTTCCTAGGATGCATCTGGCTTCCCCCAGACCTTCCTCAGACCCCATTCCTAAGCCTAGCTTGTCCTCATATCTAGCAGCAGGTGGACCCTGGTTTGTTTCTCCTCATGTTTTCCTCCTCCTCACCTCTTCCCTAGCTCTAGTGACAATGCTGTAGGGTTGAGGCACCAAGGCAGAAGGACCCTCACCCTGCGCAACAGAAACCAGCCATCACCCAAGACAGTTTGAACATGAGAGAGCCTGAAACCCTGGCAGGGGGCTGCCACCTCTGAAAGTGCCAGAAGCCAGGCAGGCAATGCAGGCCAGGGACAAAGGGCTCATTATACAGAGGGCCTTTCAGGGCACTTCCCCCAGGGCCTATTTCAAAGGAAGAATTGAGAGCCCCACACAAAACCCAAAACCATAAATAAAGACAAAACTGAAAGAGCACAGAGTGTCTCCATGGCTGCTTCAGGGAAGAGTCTATGTGCTGATGCCTAGAAGGGGTGGGGAGAAGCCACAACTGCAGTACCCTGTGGTCACCCAGACCTGATACCATGCTTTCAGAGGCAGAACCAGGACCAAAGTTTCTAAGTGTGAACAGACTCATGCTTACACATACGAGAAGAAACCGCTGTCTGAGAAACAAGCCCTGAGCTGCCTGTGACTCTAGCCCTGAAGGGTCCTGTTGGTATTCCTGCCCAAGCCTCTGGAAATGCTCTCCTTGTCCTGATGAGGGCTCTGCTCTGCTTCTGGGATGGCTCCTTTCTGTTCCCTCTTCACAGAACAGCACTCCTGAATCACACCCTGGGTGCCTCATCCCCAGTCCTGTCTGCAGTGTGGGTCTCTAACTCTTCCTACTCCAAAGGCAGCCACTGTACTCTCAAGTCCCCTGAGGCTCAGCTCCAGTTGTGCCAGTCCCCCTGTGGTCTCCCACTGGAATGGGTGTTGGCCCTCACATCTCCATTCCCTTACGCTGTTGCCATGTTTTGCCAACTTTCCCTTCTAGACCTTTCTCAAATCTACTCCTCCTCTCTCTCTGAGGCAGCCCTGCTGGGGCTGTCTCTGGAATATTCTCTTTCTATAAGAAATCCAAAGCGGGTCTCAGAGTGAGGATCACAGATCAGCACCATGAAAGATGTGAGGCACAGTTAGCAAGACAGTGCCACACACTGTGCACTTTCACCTGCAGCTGCCGTTTCACTTGCAGCCCTCGGGTCAAGACTGAGCCAGTGTGCTTTCTACCCCTGGTCATCAGGGAACACAGCACTTGCTTTCTCTCTAGGCTGGGCAGTAGCATGCCTCACTGCTTGGGGGGGTTGGAGGGTGGCAGTTGGCTCTGACTTTCTTTTATAATTTGTTTCATGGGTACTTTGATTCCTTGCTATCCCCTTCCTGCAGGTGGTTGGGGCTGCAGGGCTGGGAACTGACTGTGGTAGCTAATGTACTGTCTGGTGTATTCAGGTGAAACCCTATGTTTCTGGGAGCCCTTCTTAGGGCACCTCTCTCCCAGAGATGCTACCACTTTCTAGAACCGAGATTAGTTTTGTCCATCCTGTGCAGTGGATTCTCTCACTATGGTCCTCCAGGAGTCAGGATGATGAGTTGTTAATGATAGGGACTCACTCAGTGGCGTTGCTCAAGTCCACACAGGCCTGCCTTCAAGCAAGTTAAGATCTGTAAGCAAGTTCCAGGTCTGCTTACAGCACATAGCGGCCAGATGTTCAGCAGAGAGGATCCAGGTATTTCAGGAATAGGTCTAGCCACACCCTCTCCCATCACCCTCCCTCTTAAGTATATATGTCACTCCAGAATGCAGAGATCCCACCAAGACAAGTCTCTCCATTTCTTGTGTGGCTGAAGAGATGGAGAAGGGCCACCTCTTCTCCAGACATCACTGGCCTCTGTCCCAAGGTCACAGTGACAAGAGAAGGGAAGGAGGGGACAGCTGAGTTTCCTGGTAGGCAGTAGTAGCCCCAACAAGATAAGATCAGATGGCATCACCCCACCTTCTGAGGACCAGGGTGCCCTCAGGGCTACAGCAGGCAGCACTACTGAGGCAGATAAGCTGGGCTGGCAATGCAACCCAGATGAGTCCAGAGGCTCCCAATGAGTCCCACCCAGGATTCAATACAGGCTGACAATCTCTTCCCCAATTGCTGGTTTATGATCGAGAAATGCAGCTGCTTGCCTGTGCTCGGCAGGTCTGGCTGGTAAAGTTCTATACCAGAGGTGTGAGTGGCAGCATTGTTAAGAGGGGCAAAAGGTGCAACATGGGCAGTGGCTGCAGGAAGAGTGGCCACTAAAGGACTGTGAGCCTAGGGAATTTGAGGATGGTCTGCTGCAGAGACCATCAGCTTGTGTGGCTGGGGCAGCTGAACAACCAGAGTGACCTGGCAGATGGGGGAACTGTGGGGCAGGCTCACCTCTGCCACATGCCACTCATCTCTGTGATATCCAGAAAGAGCCCATGATCCTCTTTATCCCTCCTGGCACCTACAGGAACAAGGGGTACCTGCTTCTTTGAAAACTCTCCAAGTACCAGTAGATGAGGATGGGGAAGCTGCCGGTGAGCCAGACCCTTGATATGGGGGAACAATAACCCCAGGGATGGCAGGGTTGTGGCAGTGCTTGGCAACCAAAGGCCAGGTGGGTACGTCTACCATAAAGGATGCAGCAACATGGGCCACTAGAGTGCTGCTGGCCAGAGCTGATCTGATTTGCTTCCATGAGAATAAGCCTCTACCACGAACATGCTCAGCTCACAGTGACTGACAAGCCAGTGCCCAGAACCCTCTTGCTGATGAAGAAATTATGCTGGCAAAGTTACAGACCACGCCTGGGGTCACAGAGCTGCACTTCAGGACTGGAGCAGGCTTTGATTCCCTTCCACACCTCTGTTGTGCAACAAATTCAAGTGACTGAGCAAACCTCCAAGGCCTTTAGGTCTTTAAACCCCTTCCCCAGCACCAGCACTACTCCTGAGTGGTCCATGACAGAGACCCTTGGCCACCCTGAGGGGCCCTGACCTGTTCTGCATCTCCCACAGCAGCCAGTCATCATGAAAGAAAAGTTCAGTGGGTCTAGGGACAACCTCCCCTGTCTACACAGAGGCATGTGGGTCCTGAGGGTGGTCTCTGGGATCAGACTCTGCCAGGTGACCCAGAACAGAGTAGCCAAAGCTCCCTTTCCTATGACTGACACGATTTTACTGAGTGGGCCTGGTAAGTGCTCTGAGGTGTGTGGCCAGTACTGCCTAGGGTGGAACGCATGCCAAGGATCCCCCAGACACCACTCTTCTACCAGAGGCTGAGAGTAGCACCAAGGCCCACAGCTTCCTCAGCTGGGCAGTGACAAGGTTCTTCCAAAATGGAAGCCACGAGGAGTGGGGCAGCTCTAACTGGCCTCTGCCCAGGTGCCAGGTGCCAGCAGCCTCCACAGCCTCTCCTGATGCTCCCATTGCTTCTTGCTGAGCCAGGTTCTTCTCTAGCTACTTCAGTGGCAGTCCACCCAGGGCACCCCCTCGAACTAGCAGATAGGTACAACAATTGCCAGGTCCTACCTGTAGTGAAGGAGCTGGCCATCTGCACCATACTCCCGGTATACCTCGTAGTCCTTCTCCAGGAGCATGCCTGGTGGTGGGGAACTGAAAGACCAGAACGAACAAGACATGAGTGTGAGTGTGAGTGTAGTATTTTTAAGTGAGCATGTAAGGCCAGCCTGGGCAAATGAAAAAAGGTTCTCAACACCCAATTTTAATGGAAAAAAGCTGGGCATGGTGGGATGCATGCCTGCCATCCCAGCAACAGCAGGAGAGGTAAAATAGGATCACCATCCAGGCCAGCCTGAGCAAAAAGCAAGACCCTGTCTCCAAAATAACCAGAGCAAAAAGGCTCTGGTAGTCAAGTGCTTGCCTAGGAAGTAAAGGCCTTTGGTTCTACCCTTAGCAGCCCCCAGTCCCTCAAAAAAAAGCAACAAAAGTAAAAATGGAAGGCCTAGACATAAGTTATAGCATATGAATAAAACCAAAACACTTTGTTGACACAAAGAAAAGACTTGAATATATAAATATACAACAGAGAAACACAGAAGCTTGAATGAGAAACCTGATTAATTATAAAGATGTAGCTTTTATTTTTGGTGGTACTGGTGTTTGAACTCAGGGCCTCATGCTTGCTAGGCAGATCCTCTACTACTTGAGCCATTCACTCCACCAGCCCTTTTTTTTAAACTACAAATTTTTAAAAATTAGGATATAATCATTATATAGGGTTCCACCAGCCATTTTTTGTGTTGGGTATTTTCAAATAAGGTTTCGTAAACTGTTCGCCTGGGCTGGGTTTGAACTATGATCTTCCTGATCTCTGCCTCCTGAGTAGCTAGGATTACAGGCATGGAACCACCAGCACCTGGCAACTTCTTTAAAATTAGTCAAGAAGTTTAATTCTCACAAAAATTCCAATGTTTTTGAGACATGGAATGTTTTGAAAGTTTTCTCCCTCCAAAAAAAAAAGAAAATGTAAATGGGCCAGATATAGTGGCTCACACTTACAATCCCAGTTACTCAGGAAGCAGATCAGGAAGACAGTGGTTTGAGGATAGTCCAGGCAAAAAGTTAGCAAGATCCCATCTCAACAAAAAGCTGGGCATGCACCTGTCATTCCAGCTATGCAGGAGGCATAAAGTAGGTGGATCTCAGTACAGGGCAGCACTGAGTGCAAAAAATGTGAGACCTACCTGAAAAATAACTAAAGCAAATAAGGCTGGAGGCATGGCTCAAGTGGTGGAGCATATACCAAGCAAGCACAGGCCCTGAGTTCAAACCCCAGTACTGCAACAAAACAAAACAAAACAAACAAAACCCCAGAAAACAAAAATAATTAAAAAAAAATTAAAAATAGCTAAAAGGAAATTCAGAAGGCTAATGGGAGAGGTCTTTGGCACCAGTAGACAGAAACACTAATAAAAAACTACATAGTTAAAACAATGTGGTACTGGTAAAGGACAGATTCTGAAACTCACCAGAAAGAACAAATATTGATCCAAATATATATGTTATGGTTTGCATGTTCACACCAAAATTCATGCTGCAATTTGGTTCCAGTCTAATGGTGCTGAGGGGGGTGGGACCTCTAAGAGGTGATTCATAGTAGGCGCTCCTCCCTATGAGGGAACCAATGCATTTCCCATGAGAGTAGCCAGCTACCTCAAGAGCGGGCACTACAAAGTGGTCAAGAGTCCCCTCCCCGCCCCGCCTTGTCCATGGCAGGCCTGCGTCTGCCATGAGGGCCTCTTCAGAAGCTGAGTGAAGGTTGGCGCCATCCATGCTCAGACCTCCAGCACAATGAGTCAGAATAAGTCTCTTTTCTCTATAAATTACCCAGGCTCAGGTATTTTATTATGGCAACAAAAAATGATCTAGAACAATGTACAAGAATTTAGTGAACACTAACTGAAAACTTGGCGCACCAAATCACATGCCCAACAAAGGGAGCTGGGTGAGCACATTATTCATACTGAGAAATATGGTGCAGTTGCTGGAGTGTTGTTACAGCAGAATATTAAAAAAATACTTCAAGAAGGACTGGTGGAGTGGCTTAAGTGGTAAAAGTGCCTGCCTAGCAAGTGTGAGTGGGAGTTCAAACTCAGTATTGCAAAACAAACAAAACTACAAGAATATAGACTTTCAGGCAAAAGTCAGTAGATGGCGCTAAACAGTGGGTTTTACTCCATGGGATCATTAAGCATCTTCTGTTATGCTACAGAGCAAAGAGCTAGCAGTACGAAGAGAAGACTAAACCACTGACTTGGGCCACATCAGGCTCAATGGCTCTCAGGGGCTCTAACACCCCTCTCTACTCCCATATCTAGCACTAGTGCCCAGGGCCATGTCTGGGCAATGTCACCTATCCCACAGACCTCTGCCGACAGATTGGAACACTCACTGAACACCAATGTCAGGTTAGGCCTGGGCTAGGGAAGGGACACGAGGCAGACACATTCCTGTTCCCTCAAGTGTCCACTCCATGGCAAGCCTGCCAGAGAACAAACCAGAACCTCAGGCAGCTACGGGACTGAGACACAAAGCCCAGGACAGGGACACTCTGAGAGGGATGCTTAAGCAATGAGTGGAGGAAATAAGAGTAAGTGGGATTGAGAGGGTCAAGTCTGTCACATCCTAGAAACAGAAAGGAGGCCCCTGTGCCGAGTGGGGACACAGGGGTTCAAACTACATCACCAGGACTCTCCAGGTTGACAATAACAAAAAGCCACAGTTTGCTTTAAGACATGGGTCAGCAAACTACTGCCAAGCCCGGCCCACTGCCTTGCCTTTATACAGCCTGTGAGCTAAGAATGGTTTTTACATTTTGAAATGGTGGGAAAATATTTTAAATATTATTTAGTGATGTGAAAATTCAAATTTCTTGGAGTACAGCCATGCTAATTTGCTCCTGTATCATCTGTGGATGCATCTGTACTACACAACAGTCAGAGCCGAAGAGTTGTGACAGAGACATAGCACCCATGACTCTGAAAATGACAACCATGCAGCATTTAGTATCACGACATTTCATTATGTTTTAATGATCAGAATACTCATGACATCAAAACAAGCTGTGCCAATGGCTCACGCCTGTAATCCTAGCTACTTGGGAGGCTGACATCAGAAGTATTGCAGCTTGAGGCCAGCCCAGGTAAATAGTTCATGAGACCCACCCCCCCATCTCAAAAACCACAGCAAAATAGACTGGAAATGTGGCTCAAGTGGTAGAGCACATGCTTTGCAAATGTGAAGCCTGACTCACCAAAAAAAAAAAAAAAAAAAGTGGATCTTGGGTGTCATGCTCTTAAGCATGGAGTGGGGTATTTTGTTACTGGGTTGGACGGAGAGTCCCTGTACATCAAACAGGGGCATGTGGCTATGCTAAGAGAACACAGGTCAACATTACTGCACAAGTACACATTACAAGCTGGGCACTGATGGCTCATGCCTGTAATTCTAGCTATTCAGGAGACAGAGATCAGGAGGATTGTGGTTCAAAGCCAGCCTGGGCAAACAGTTCACAAGACCCTATCTTGAAAACATGCAACACAAAAAAAGAGCTGGTGGAGTTGGTTCAAGTGGAAGAGCACCTGCCTAGCAAGCATGAAGTCCTGAGTTCAAACTCTGGTACTTCCCCACCCACCTGCCAAAAAAAAGTACCCATCATAATATTCTCAACTTATACAATGTTCCAAATAATTTTAAATGGAAATAGAAACTTCAAAACAGGTATCTCATCACAGCACAATTACTTGACAAAAATGAAAATGACTTAAAATAAAGCAAGTTCTAAAGTGTTTCACTTCTTAGTCAACCAAGGAAAGCTGCTCACCAATGATGAGTTAGTTAAGTTGTGTGGACTGCAGCAGCCATACAGTATATGTATATAGCACATGGATGCAGAGTACATCCAAAGACAGTAATTTGCCTAAGACCATTAGACACCTGCATGTCTAGACAGTTGCTAGAGTTGAGGACAGTGAGGGCCACCTAGCAGTCAAATAATTAAATGGTTCTCCTTGGCTCCTGATGATGTGTCAGATGCTGCTGACACTGCTTAGTTACACTTCAGGAGTCAGTGCTGAGCTTGAAGTGATAAAGAACTGGCCTCCATGAATTGTTTATGTTGAGCAACTACAGAAAATATATTCAAAAAGGCTGAGTGTGTTAGTTACTTTCTGTCACTAGGACAAAATACCTGACATAAATGACACAAAAGGACCAAACATTTATTCTGGCTTACAGTTTTAGAGGATTCAGCCCATGCAAGACTGGTTCCACTGTTTCTGGGCCTGAAGTAAGGTAGAATATCATGGTGGAGAGGGAGTGGTGAACAACCATGGTAGCTGAGAAGGAGAAGGAAGGGGGGTGGGGGAGAAGTGATGGGGGAAGTATGGAGGGGGAAGAGGGTGAGCAAGAGATAAGATGTGCTCCTGAAAGGCACAACTCCAGTGACCTACTTCCTACAACTAGGCCCCAATATTCTATTCAGCTATGAATTCATCAAAAGATTAACCCATTGATAAGGTTGGTGCCCTCATGATCCAATCACCTTTTAACAGTGTCATTAGCTGGGGACCAAGCCTTTAACACATGAGCCTTTTGGGAGACATCTCATATCCAAATGATAGCACTGAGGAAACACTAATTCAGTGCAACCTGAAGTGACATGAAATAGAATCTGCTAAGACGTGTCACAACTGACCATCCTGAGAGTATGTGTGAACCAAAGGTTTAGCCAGACAATCTACAAGGCTTGTGAGAATGTAAGCTTATGTGAAAATACAAGTTCACAGCTATTTATTGTGCTATTCATTAGCAGGTATTTTGCAGAAAATATTTAAATCTATCATGAGCTATCAAAACAGCAGTGTCAATACTGAACTTCACTCACACTCACAAGCTTAGCCATCAAAAGTTCTATGAATTTTTTTGTTAGAAATAGGAGCTGACCATCCTGACTTGCCCTCCTACACAGCAATCCAACAGTTTGACAGTGGTTCTTTTCTTTTCTCTCCTTCCCTTGTTTCCTTCCTTCTTTCCCTCCCTCTTTCCCTTCCTTTCTTTTTCTGTTTTTTTTTGAGACAGAGTCTTGCTGTATAGCTCAGGCTGACCTCAAATCATGATCCCTCTGCCTCCCAGGTGCTGGGATTGTAGGTATGTACTACCATACCTAGTCTATTTTTTTTTAATTTTATTACCATGGCTTTTTTTTCCCCCTCTATTAATGATTTCAAAATTTGCCTAAGATTTGCCTTCATGTCATTTCTTCATGTTTCTTGTGCTCGGGGTTTGTGGTTTCTTGGTCCTATTTATAGTTTTTGTTGTTTTGGCAGTACCAGTGTTTGAACTTAGGGCTTTGTATTGGTGAGGCAGGTGCTCTATAGCTTGAGCCACACTTCCAGCCCTTTTTGCTCTGGTTATTTTGGAAACAGAATCTCACTTTTTGCCCAGGCTGGCCTGAACCTCGATCAAAGCTGGGAAAACAGGCGTACCCTACTACACCTTTTTTTTTTTTTTAATGTTGAGATGGGGGTCTTGCAAACTTTTATGTAGGCTGGATAGTGGTCCTTCCATACAGCTGGGATGACAGGCATGCACCAGCACACCAAGCTGTTGGCTGACTTGGAGTCTGGCGAACTTTTTGCCCAGGCTGTCTTTGAACTAGTGCCTGCCTGCTTTTTGTTTTTATCATGTCTAAGAAATTCTCAGTACTTTTTCTTCAGTTGTTTTTCCTCTCCCTTCCCCAAGACTCTAGTTTTGCATACATGAGGCCACATGTTGTTTTCTGAGCACCTACACTCTGTGATTCTTTCCATTTGTTCAGCTCTATCTGTTTCACTTGGGAACATCCAAGTGATGACACTTGCAAACTCACTAGCTTTTCTTCTGTATCCTGGTCCCTACTTCTACAGTCTGAATTTTGTGTCTTGGCAGTGTTATGTCCTCTGGGAATTTCCTCTGCAAGGTGTGGAATCTGGATCTGGCTGCCAGGGCTGAGGGTTCCACAGGGGCGTGAGACTGTTCACACTGGTTTCACGAATTCATGTGCTCAACCCACATGGAGATGTTTTGTGGGTCAAATGCACACAGATCCCATTGGGATGATTAAAATACATACCCAAATACGTTTCAACGTGTGAAAAATCGATTAGTAAAATACACCACACTAACAGTTGCTGTTACTATCTATTAGTCACCTGTGTCACCTGACATAGTAAAAGCAGTTGACGATGTCCAACACCCTTTCCTGATAGGAACCTCCTAGAATGAGGACCAGAAGGAAACTTCCCAGATTAAGGCATGTCTCAAGTGGTAGAGTGACTGCCTGGTAAGCATAAGGCTCTGAGCTCGAACTCTAATACCACCAACCAACAAACAAGCACGTGGAAGGGAATTTCCTAACATGATGAAGGGTCCTTTTGAAAAACCCCACTCAACAGAGAGACTTGCTGGAGCAGTATGGTACTCGGTACTCTCTCAGTCCCTGTCTTCTCCATCTCCCACCAGACCACACCACTCCCTGCACCAACACTGCTGCCTCTCTGCAAGGCTCACCGCCTTCCTGACCAGCTCCAGCCCTGGCCTCCTGCTGAGCCTGCACTTGGTGGGGAATGATCTAGCTATGGTGCTATCTGAGGTCACTATTTCACTTTTTTTTTTTTTTTGGCAGTAATGGGGTTTGAAACCAAGGCCTCGCACTTGCTAGGCAAGCATAACATTTCACTTTTTTTTTTTTAAACCGCTTTACTCTTTTTTTTTTTTTTTGATGGGACTGGGGTTTGTCACACTTCTCAGGACAGGGGTCTCTTCAGTTCCCAACAACAGAAGCAACTCCTGAAGGTCACCTTCGAGTCTACTCAGGCCCCTTACACTGTGTCCAGTGTCCATATTGACATGGCTCTGCTCTGTGCAGAGAGCACATAGCCAGCCATCTGTGCTTCAAATGGACCTGAATCTGTTGGTCCCAACCCCACTGCACCGAACAGCAACTTCCAACCCTTGCAATGGCTGCCCAGTGGGCCTCTTTCCCTTTTGGACCCTCACACATGCATGCCATGCACATCACTCTCAGCAGGAGTAAAATGAACTCCAAGGTATGAATCAGGTATTAACTGCTGTCACATCTACTGTCCCGAGCATAATCCAACCTGTCTTCCCCAACACCTGGCAGCAATTCTGGGAAGTTCCTCAAGGGCCCAGGCTCAGCTTAGTGTTGTATAGATACATCTCCCATCTCCCATGTGTCTGATTTTCACCAGCACTTGCTATCCCGAACCTTCCCTCCACCCTTGATCTCCATGCAACTGCTCAGATACAGCATCCTCATGAGTGACACCACAGACGCCACTGCTGAAACAGTGAGGTTGTCCAATGACACAGAAAGACATCCAAAGGTGCTTCCAGGTTAGGTGTACATCACAGCCTTATGTCCACGAAATGAACAAGGGTACATCATCACCCTCTGTGTATCCATACTCCTGATGTCCCTCTGCAGCTTGGGACAGCTCACCACAGGCTCCCATTGGTGCAGTCCATCTGCCTCACCTGCCTGACTACATGGACAAGGATCTCTGCCCTACCCTCAGTTTCTTCACCTGTGCGATAAGAACAGCATTTCCTTTCTGTGTATCCAGGAGAAATAATCAGCTCACGGTGGGCTCTGCCCTGGGAAGGCAGCCCCTCAGGCCCTCGAGCTGTCTGTAAGGGTCTGAGACCAGTCTTCCTTCCCACAAGCAGATGGAACTAATTAAGTACAAAAACAACTCTACTAGCCAGAAAAACCTCCACTGGAGGCATGGCCTAGAAGCCCGTTTGAGCTCCCACTGCACGGGTTTTCTCCTTGGCCATTTTTTTTTCTTTTGCAGGCTCTGTTCACCTAGTTAGCTCCTGGCCCAGGGAATCCAAGTGGCTAATGACACTTTCAAGAAAGAAGAGAGGAGGTGGCAGGCTTGTGAACCAGCTGGGCTGCGGCTGTCTCCCTAGCTATCTGAGGCCACCAGCTGCAAGGCGGATCCTAGCAGAGGTGGAAAAATCTTTTATCACTGGACGCAGGTGGCCGGCAGCTCACAGCTAGCAGACACATTCAAGTCTGATCACACGTCCGCCCGGCCCCGCCCTCACCTGCAGCTCTCCTCCTTTGCGGTCCCCAGCGCCGCCGGCCGAGCAGCCCTGGCCGGCAGCTCCTGGGCCCTCTCGGCGGAGGCTGTGGCATCGGGCTCGGGCTCCAGCGAGGAGCCGGTGCTGCCGCGCCCCGGGCTGCTGTCGGCCGAGGCGCGCGGGGACTCGGTGTTCTGCTTCAGCGTCTGCAGCTTGGCCAGTGGGATGATGTCGCAGTTCTGCGGGCGGTGCCACACCGTGCGCTGCGAGGCGGCGCTGTAGTAGTAGAAGCGCGACGTGTTGGGGTCGAAGAGCTCCCACCACTGGTCCTCGCTGGTGCGCTTAATGCGCACGCCGGCCGGCGGGTCCCACACACACTCGCCGGTGACCAGGTTGGCGTACATGCGCTCGCGAGTGCGCGGCTCGATGATCTCCACCCACTCCAGCCTGCGGGGACAGGGGACAGGGGCGTCAGCCGGGATCCCCCGCCCTCCTGGCCCTCCTAGTCCTGAGCTGCGGGCTCCCAGTGCCCACAGGGCAGCACACCCCCAACCCTGCACCCCCAGTCCCCACTCAACCTGGAAAGCAATGTAAATTAAAGTAGGCCAGACAAGATAATTTTGTTTACCGTTAGGATGAGCAAGTTTCTACCTGGAAAAACAACCCTTTAAAGGTACATAATACCCCTTGGTGTGGATTCTGTCTCTGCCCTGCTGTCTCGTGCATTCTCCTTCCATGGGTATGGGCCGCAACTGGGTTGGCATTTGTTTCCAGGGAAAGGGGCTCAGGAGAGAAAGGGAGGCATGCAGGGAGGGTGGGAGGCTGGCCTATAGCTCTGCCAAGACAGGTGTGAAACAGGAAAAAAAGTCACTGGGCCGTTCCTGGCTTTCACTGACCCGAGTAGCTTAGGGCAGGTGATCTTCACCACACTCATGGTCTTACTCTGTCCTGGGTTCTGCCTTATGGAACCAGGCCAGGGACAGGGTTGCTCTGAAACCATCACCCCCCCCCCACACACACACACCACCCCACCATGGGGGGCAAGGTAGATTCAACCTGCTTCTACTTGCTCCATGTAGATTCTGTCCCCTCCCCCACCATGCCTCAAGGGAAAGAGCAAAGGTCATGCCCTGGGGGGAAGGGGGAGTGCTGCTGTTACCCTGAGGTTGCATCCCCATGACACTTTCACCCCTGGTCCTGTGAGGGAACCCCAAGCTGAAGGACCTGTGCTGGGGAGGGCTGTCCTGTGAGGTAGGAGACTATGAGGGAGTTGCCCCACAGCCAGACAGGGAAGGAGTCAGTTGAGCCTGAATGGAAACACAGGGAAGAGGAGGTGGCCTTGGGAGCCGCTTCAGTCAGTGGGCCACTCACAAAACAGGGCCAACCACTGAGTAGGCTGTTTCATCCTCCACCAACGGAAGGCATCTAACAGAGAGGGTTTTCTCACTGGAGTCTGAGCACTTTTGCCAGCACTGACTGCCCCCCCACACCCCCCCAGACACCTGGGTTTACTCAGGCTCAGACTTGCTTCCTTCTGCCCTATGGTCTGGCATAGTTTGGCAGGAGCAGCACGTGGGGCAAGTGGGCAGTCATGGGGACAGTTAGACTGCTTGATCAAGGGGGTACCCACCATTCCTCACCACTAGAACACCACTGCCCTTTCTCTGAGGCTGGCTGAGTATCTTGCAGGGATGAATACCCTGTGTAAGGCAAGAGTTATCAATGGATGCTAAAAGTCAAGGATAAGTCTGAGGAGGAACAGCTTGTGGGGAGGTTGAATGATCTTTTCTGTACTTTTCAAGTTTTCCATATTGTTCACAAGATTAATTTTGTCATTGGGAAAAATAAAAGGCCTATTATCTTCTATTCAATAGTGCATACTTCAACTGTAGCATGCAACAAAACCTCCAAAGTGTCAGACTCTAAAGTGTTTTTCGGTACTTGGGCTTGAACTCAAAGCCTCATGTAAGTGCTGTACTCCTGAAGGCATACTCTCAGCCCTTTGTTTTTAAGCTCGGGCCTTGATTACTTCATCTGGGCTGGCTCACACTTTCCATCTTTCTGCCTCTACCTCTTGAGTATCTGGGATTATAAGTGTGTCACACCATGCCTGGCTCAGACTTTAAAGTTTTAAAGATGCAGAGGCCAAGCTCCCATGAATTGTCTGTGCTTGTTCTGGCTTGGGCAGCTGGTGGCTTAGCACTGGGGTATAATGGGTAGCATCCCCTGTAGGCATGCTTTAATATAAACGCAAAATGAGTGTCAGGGAAGGCCTGTGACAATTCATAGTAGGTAAAGCCTTATAGCCTTGTTTTTAAAAGCCACTTATCTGCAGCTGGGTGCCTGTAATCCTAGCTACTTGGGAGGCTGACATCAGGAGGACCACTGTTTGAGGCTAGCCCAGGCAAATAGTTTGAGAGACCCCCATTTCCAAAATAACCAGTGCAAAATGGACTGGAAGTGTGGCTCAAGTGGTAGCGTGCCTGCTTTCCAAGCACTAAACCCTGAGTTCAAACACCAGTCCCAATGGGAAAAAAAAAGCCACACATTTACTTATGTTTATGTTTGTATAGGAAATCACTGGATATAGAAAGCCAGAGATAAAAGGGATTGTCTTGGCCTAGTAGAATTTGGTAAGATTTTTCACCTTTTTTTAACTAATCTAATTTTTTCAAACTTTATAATGGAAATTTTCAAGCATATGCAAAAATATAGCTACTAAAACAATGAAATTTCCACATATGTGGTTTTGTATTTTTCCTAATTATTAATGAGGTCATAAATAAATGGCTTGTATTCATGAGCCATTTATATTCTTTATCTACAAAATACAAGACTTTCCTCAATGAATTATGTATTACAAGCACCTATTTTGTGACTTTATTTATTTTTTTTGGTACTACTAGAGTTTGAACTTAGGGCTTTGCACTTGCTAAGCAAGACTCTATCACTTGAGAAATGCCCTCAGCCTTTTCTTTTCTTTCTTTCTTCTTTTTTTTCCTGCACTTTAGTTATTTTTCAGATAGGGTCTTCAGTTTTTGCCTAGGGCCAGTCTCAGACCACAACCCTCCTGCCTATGTCCCCCAGTAGCTAGGATGACAGGAGCACACCATCACACCTAGCTTGTTTGTTTCGAAGGGGTCTTGCTAACTTTTTTGGCTGGGCTGATCTCAAACCAGGATTTTCCTGATTTCCAACTCCCAAGTAGCTGGGAGTACAAGTGTGCATTACCACACTTGGCTCCTGGTTATTCTTAACCTATTTTTCTTCCTTATGAATTTTAGGATCAGTCTGTCAACTTCCAATCACAACCTTACTGCCATTTTTGTTACATGCGTACCAACCCTAATCGTTGATTCAGGGAGAACAGAGACATCTTTAGGGAACTGTGGTCTTCCACCTGAGCAGTGGCATGTCCCCCTGTCTCAGTCTAAGGGCATGGGCACCACTTTTCAATGCACCTGTCTTCAGCTCTGTCCAATCTGCTGGCATATGTCCAAATCTCTGTGGTCATTCTCTGAGATCCCTTCAGACAGGTGAGCATCAGACCCCTGAAGCCCAGCCAGTCCTCTTGCTCTTGCCAGGTGACATGGGATAGATTTCTCCCTCAGAAGGCTATGGAGGTAACATAGTTCTTCATCCTACACCTCTGATTAACACCTTCTCCACTGCTGAGACCCTGCACAGCCTGCCCCTCTAAACAGAACCATTCCTGCCTCACCACCCCCAACACACAAAACACCCTGGGTAATGGGAACCACCCTCTTCTGCCCCACAGGGCACTTCTGGGACCACCCTCACCCTGAGTGTCCTTCAGCATCCTCTTCCCACACCATAGTGTTGGGGATGATTCTCTTTCCTGAGGCTCAGAGCTCATGCAGTGGTCCTGGTGCTCTCTGGTGACCAAGTTGTGCCTGCCTCTGAGATTTCCTCGTAGATTTGCAGGATGGAGACTTTCCAGGCCATGGGGGCAATGGCCAGAAAACTCTTGACATGGATGTAGATGTCCCAGAGACAAAAAGGCACTTGCACTGAGCTTATTCCTGGAGCCTGGCACACAGCCATGACCCATGGGCTGGAGGAGCCCAGCTCAAAGCCTGCTATAGGAAAGGGCAGATGACAACCCAGAGTAAGAAAAAGGGAAACATGGTCCACCCCAAGAACAGCACACATCTGCCAGATGGGGTCAGCTAAAGGAGCTGTGGTCAGCACCTCCACTCAACTCTAAAAGGTGGACATCCAATAAAAATTCTAACCACTCATAAGGAAGGTCAGAGCTAACCCAAACCAGGACAGCAGGAAAGAAAACAAAGCACAGGTTGGCTGACGTGTGAGACCCTCAGTGGAACCAGTGGTGCAGATGTCTACAGAAAAAGGAATATAGAGAGGATTAATTGGACAGCTGAATGAAAAGCAAATCACTGAAATGCCTGGCTACAGTGTCCCACACCTGTGGTGCCAGCTATAGGAGAATTATCTGAGCCTTGGGGTTCAAGGCCAGTCTGGGTAACATGGTGAAACTCTCATCAAAAATTAAACCACTGAAATTCACATTACGTGGGTTTAAAAGCAAATCTGCACAGAAGAAAGAACTGAGTCAGAGTCAGAGGAGGCAGGGAAGGTGGTGGGCTGACACCAGCCACTGTGTCCAGAGGATGAAAGAAGGGCAGACAGAATACATTTAAAAGATGAATGGAACTTTCCACAAGATTCAAGAAGCAGCACAAACTGCAAGTATCCACAGTCTCCAGATAAAAGGTGCTTGACAGTACCAGGGCATGAGGGAGCTCAGGAAAATGCAAACCTAAGCCAAGAAGGGTACCACACACACCAGGAAGATGGCTACCATAAGACAGCCTGCAATACTGAGCATGGCAAGGACCCCAGCACCACAGGTCTTGTGATGTGGGGGAAGGTGAACCAGTACAGCCAGGTATAGCTAGGGCAATGGGAATATCACCCAGTTGAAGAGCTGGCAGGCAGAAAAAAGTACACAAACCCCACACAGAGAACACAGTGCACATCAGCATGTGGGAGCCTACCAGAGGCCCATGTCCAGCCCATTGCCCACGATGCACCACTAGGAAACCTGGATCAAGCTGCTGGCAAGGCACCTGGAGCTTCATGGGCCTCATAGCACATATAGGCACACGTGGGTATGCACAACTAACTCCACTACAGAATGGAAAGGTGGGCCTCACCTGCCTCAGTAGTTGAGGTTAGGATGAGGGAACCACAGAATACAGGCACCACTGCCAGGCCAGTGGAGAAGAGTGCTCAGTTGAAACCTACAGGAGGGGATAAGGGGCCGGGAGGACCCAGCAGGGCTGGCCCCTGGACTGGGAACACTCAAGTCTGATTCTGGCTTCCCTGGGAAACAAGAATGCAGTGGAGGCAAGACTCTCAGCAAAGAGCAGTGTATGAGGGGTGAAGGAGGAGCTGCCCTT